AGGCAGCTGTCACTGTTTTTGAATAAAAGCTGTCTCTGATCTACACCATGCATCCCATGGTCACGAGGAGATGAGGTGTGATATACATTTTGCCTGAGCGGATGGGTAAGTGGCTAATGATGATTCCTGATCTGCAAACACATCCCACACAGATCAGAGCTTCAGCCCCACCAGTCCTGTACTGGTAACCCCAGAGGAACAGGTTGCTCAACTCTGACTGGTTGATGTGCTGGGTCTCTGGATGACAGTTTAGCTTCCATGCATTGCAGTTCTTGTGCTTCAGCTCCTACATGGTATCAGATGACCACGTGTGGTGCTGCTCCCAAAGGACTATCACTTTAACAATTTATTACCTTTCATATTAAATCACTGATATAAAGTGACAATGGCTCTGTTAATCACACAGCCTGAGACCAAGCATCTTTGACTTCTTCCATCCCAGAGGCAAATTAATCGTTCCCACCAGAGTTTCTATAACCCTCCAGCCTTCCATCCAAGTAATGTACAAGAGAAGAAACATTACCTGTGCTACCAGCTCATACTGGATTCATCAGTTCAAAGTTGGCAGATGTTATCACAACTTATTTGTCTGGGCAATTCTTCCAGATAGGCTAAACTCAGCAGAATTTACTGTACAGGGAAGTTCTTTGTTCAATATTTGCCAGCAGTGCAAGGAGACTTGTTTGCCTGTCCTCAATTATCTCAGCAATTACATTTATGAAGGCAATTATAAATAATACACCTTTTAAGAAATTATCAGAGATTGCATCTGACCAAAAGTGGGACTCCGTGAGAAACAGATGATCATGACAGTGGGCCATGACTTGCAGGATTCCTTTAGAAATGCAGTGCTAACAGAAGAAAGTACCTCTTCAATCAATGTGCCAAAGGGGTCCATGGCACAAATCTCAGACAAAGAGCATTCTTTGTTAGTAGAAATTTATATTGTTTCACACATGAGCATTTCCCAGACAGAAAGGAAATGTAGGAGAAAGACTTTATCAGAGAAAAAGATGCATGGAATCCTAGAAGGAACCATTCCAAGTGACAAATGGAAGAGTGAGGCATGAGAACAAATAATCCACTTGTTTAGTGTCATAGAATAAATTTCCATTTGGAGTTTTGCTCTTAATCTCACCTAAAGGCAATCTAATCCTGCCTAAAGACAGGTTCTTGGACAGTTTAGGTGCTATCTCTGAAATGTCAATGAGCGTGAATCCACTTTAGTATTTTAGTGGAGCAGGTTACATGTTCCTGTATTTTCCTGACCCTTTACTGAGTTAGATGTGCTTCTGTAACTGTGGCTGTTTAAGATGTCATCTTAGATGTCTAAAATGGCAAGATTTTCAGAGCTAGATACCTTCTGTTGCTCATGGAATACATGGATGTTTGAGAGGAAAATACACTTCTCGTAGGACATCTTATGTAGGCACAGCAAAGATCAAGATGTGAGTCATTGCTCTGAGTATGACATAATATTCCTAACATTTTGTGGGAGGAGATAGTTGGCCAAGAGGGATGAGACAATGATGGCCCTGTACTTCAGGGCACACTGTTAACCAGTGTAGAACACAGAGGGCTTAGGAGTTGATGAGATGTGAGAAAAAGTATAAAAATATCTAATGGCTATGAAGCTTTTGTTGAGTAAATACCCAGTCCTTGATTTTTAATACTCTGTTAAGTAAAGCATTTTCTTTTTCCCCAGGCTTGTCTTTGAAATTATGTTGTAGGTACTTCTGGAAGATCAGGTCTGAACAGTTAGGAGAAGTTTTTCTTGTCCCAGATGGGTGTTCCTGTTCTTCACTGAAACTGCCTCTGTGAGTTAATTCAGCTGTGGAGTAGTTTCACTTGCATCATCTCAAGAGCCATTTAAATGCCTCACAAAGTGGACCTGTATGTAGGTATTTATTTATTTAGATATTTATTTATTTTTTCATAAGTCCATTCATGGATTCAGATCACTCAGTTGGGAAAGTTGTTTTATTCCTGAGGTTTGTACAATGTTTTTTAATGCACATATTTATTTCAACAACATAAGGAACACCCTCATAAAACAGGGACATCTTCTAAGAGGTTGACATTTAAGAAATGTCCTTCCCATCATCATGTGAAACCCAGCTGGCTTGATGACATCTTAGAGGAAGGAAAGTCACTGCTCATTGGTAGGGAGTATCCTACCTCCAGTACTACTCTGTCAAAAGAAAAGAGTTTGCAGGGAAAAAAAAAATCTATAGGTTTTCATCTATTGAAACTTGGTCTGTGAAAAAATGAACAGCTGTATCAGCCTCCAGACTAAGAGCCTAGGCAATTAAAACAGGCATGGATGGCATCTTGGTTCCAGACTGGTCCCTCAGTTCTCTTAGGTCCTTGGGTGGCAGCAGAAGGCAGCAGCCACAGGCTGTCTGGGGTTAAAATAAATTGCATTCATCTGTTTCTCTAAACTTCTATGTAAGCTCATGAGCACATTGTTCAGGAGTGCTGTGATCTGGGTAGTCACCTACCCAGTTACCAACACTGGAAAAAAAAAAAGTCCATGCCAGGCCAAAAATCTAACAAGAAATGAGGAATTTTTAGATTGAAACATCCAGAGTTTGAAGTTTAGTGCAGTCATAATGGTAATAATGGAGAGGATTTGGAAGTCTGGGGTTGTTTGGCTCTTTTATTATTTCACAGAATTAAGGCTTTGACTTACCATCCCTGGGAAGAACAGATTGAAGCTGCCAATGCACAAATGGTAGAAACTGTCTGAAGGAAAGTCAGATTTGTGTTGCTGCTTTAACCACTCAGATCTAACCATCCCAGCTCCTCAAAACAGCAGTTTCTGATTGCTTCTTTTGACTGCTGGTCTGAGACCCTTGTGAGAACTGCATGTTGTCAGGGCCTCTGTACTCACTGGTAAATTAAAAAAAATGGAATGACTTGGATATAAAATTCACCCACCATGTTCACTTCAAAACAGACAATACAAATGCAGGTTTAGGTAGCATTTATCACATGACACTCAAAAGATTACAAATTAAGAGATAAGATTTTGTTTTAGATATGTATATACCACAGCCTTTCTGCAATGACAAGCTTAGCTAGACAGACCAGACTGTGGAAGCCTGATAATATTTGGAGACATATTTTGCTCAACTGTAAATGCCCTCTGCAAATTGACTTTACTCACCCGTTAGGAATTAAATGAGCTGTGTAACTCATTAGTGTGGGGTTTTTCCAGCCCAGATGTGCAAAGGATAGCAATCTGCTGTGCATCTGATCTAGGTATTATACAGTGAACAAAGTCCACTTGAATTTTTCAGTATTCACATTTGGCAAGTATCAGAGCTACTGATATCATGTACCTTGAGCCTGTGTTTCATATGTGAATACTTCTTGTATATAAGTGCCACTTTTTCCAGAACACTTAGGAAAGATTCCCAGGAATCACCTGTAATCATGTCCCATGAAGAACTGCAAGAATTTTACTGATTTCAGCTTTGAGGGTTCATTTATCATTACCATTATTAACACAGTTTTATTTTAATTGCTACTTAAAGGAACAACTAGTCAGGTACAAGCTATGTTCAATTGGTTTTGAGAAGAGCTGGTGAAAGTACGAGGGAGAAATGTACAGGAGCCAGAAGGGAAAACACTCAGAGATACATGCAGACACAGAATCCCAGTGTCCCAGGGACTGACTGGACAGCCTGAAAGGTCCCTGGAGAGAAGAGATTCTTGGGGCAGGTGGATGGTGTAGCTTCAGCTCAGCATGCATAGCAAGATAAGACCCTCTGGAAGCTCCTGGCTGGGACTTTTACAGCTTCTGGACTGCTGGGCCACATCTTTGCTGGAAGGTTCTGGAGTCACCTGGATCTGCTTCCCAGGGCCAGCCACCCATTCATATCCCAGACAAACTCATTTTGGGAAGTGGAAAAAAAAGTCACCCTTCTCTCCCTGTCCTTTTCACTGTCAAAGTGCCTATTCATACCAGTATCCACTTGCTGCTGACCTTCTGCCAGCAACAACCTGCTTCCCAGCTGTCCCAGCCTACTCAGTTGGGTTTTCAGGCTCACTGCCCATGGCTTCCTCACCCCAGCCCAAACTACAGAAGAAGCTGATGCAATTCTGTTTACCAGAAGTCCAACAATTTCCTTTTATTTGGCTCTAATGCCCTTACCAGCCATCTGAGAACTATTAGTGTGTGTTATCCCATGTGGTTTTGAGACTTAAAAGAAATCTGAGGAATCTATTGCTCAGCAGATTTATCATAACATGATAGTCAGCTGAAGATCCCAGGAGGGCAAAGAAATTTCTCTGACGCGGGAATCCCTTCTAACACAATTCTTCTATGACTTTGGGTAAAGGCGCTTTCACCAAGGCCAAATACAAGCAGTTTGTTCCACTGGGAAATGAAGAGCGTATGTCCCTGTCATTTCCAGTATTATGTCCTTTCTCTAGGCAGTTTGAACGATTCTCTCTGGGCATATCTAGATTGCTAACTCTCCTTTTCCCTTTTGCCACTTTCCCAGTATATCATTACAATCTGGCATTTGTTCCTCTCTATCTGTTGACCTGCCCAGCTCCCACCCCACCGGACACCTTCCTTTCCAGGTCCGTGTTCCTTTTCCACCTGCCGATCTGGTTCCTTCACACCTCCCCCAGTATTTCCTTTCTGCTCCCAATTTCTTTGCAAAAGTCATGCTTTAACTGTCTCTCTCCCACGGTTTTCCATGTCGGCCTGGCGCGTCTCCCTTCCCCCGGCCCAGCCCTGCACTTGTTGCCCGCGGGGGGAGCTGGGCACGGGCTGTGGCCCCGGGGCAGCGTTCCCCGGGCTCGGTGCGGCGGAGGAGGGCCCGTCTGGCCGCGCACATGACGGCACGGTGGGAGGGCGGCCCCGGCGGGCGGCTCGGACGCGCCACCGCCCAGCGGGCGGCGGAGGCGGCCCCAGCGCGCACCGGCGGCGCCGGCAGGGCCGAGGCAGCGGGAACATCGGGAGCATCGGGAGCATCGGGAGCCGCGGGAGCAGCCGGGGCAGCGTGGGCTGGGAGCCGCGGCCGGAGCGGGGCAGCGCGGTGCTGAAGGGACAGCGCCCGCCCCGCCCCGCCCCGCCCGGGCAGCCGGCGGGGACCGCGGCGCGGAGCCCCGGGAGCGGAGCGGGGGTACCCGGCTGTCGGCCCCCGCCCGGAGCGGCGGGAGCTCCGTCCTGCCCCGCGGGAGCGGCGCCCCGGGCCCCGCGCAGCGCCCGCCGCCGCCCGCCCGCCGCGCCGATGCCGGGCGTGGGGGCGATCGGGGCGCGGTGCAGGCACCGGCCGCGCAGGAGCCCCAGGAAAAGCCCCAAGGCGGAGCCGGGCCAGGCCGGGGCCGCCATGGACGCGGCGATCTGGATCTACCAGTTCCGGCTGATCGTGCTGGGCGACTCCACCGTGGGCAAGTCCTGCCTCTTGCACCGCTTCACCGAGGGCCGCTTCCCGGGGCCGCTGCACTCCGACCCCACCGTGGGGGTGGACTTCTTCTCCCGGCTGGTGGAGATCGAGCCCGGCAAGAGGGTCAAGCTGCAGCTCTGGGACACGGCGGGGCAGGAGCGGTTCAGGTACAGGACCTGGGATCTTACCCACACCCCCTCCCGCCCGCTCCCCAAACCTGCCTACCTCCGGGCACACCCTGCTGCCCTCCCGGGCCTGTACCCTCCTCGTCCGACACGTGTCCGGTCGCAATGACTTTGCCTTGCCCCCCAGCACATTTCCCTGCACCCATTTGGTTGCTGTGCCCCAAACAGTCCTCCACCCCATTGTCTGACAGTGGTCCTAGCCCTGTGGCCCACCATCCCTCTTGCCCCACTACCCACAGGTTCCTTCCCAGGAGTTTCCTTCCCCACCCTTTCCCTTCAGACACACCACGGAACAGCTACCCTTCTCCTCTCAGCTCTCACTAAAGGGTAACAAGTGGCTTTGTCCTGTTTCTTCTTCCCTCGTCATTTTTCCCCTGAAGTCCTGGACCTAACGTAGCAATCCCTCCTCCACGTTTTTTCTTTCTTTGCTGCAAGAGGCCTCTGTCTAATTCTGCATTTTTTACTTCATTTCTTACTTTGTCATCACCTCCGAACTCATCCTCCCCTGCAGTATTTCACTCTGCCATTAACTCTCCTGTGCAATCTGGTGACCAGGCCACCTCCCAGCTCTTCCTCCTTCCAGAACAGCAGCACTGTCTGCACCAGTACAGCCAGCTACAGTCCCTTACCAGTGTTTTATTTGCCGTCTGCACCTGCTGTGCACTGATTGTTGCCAGGAGTCTTCACTGATAGCTGCTACCATTTATAATGTAGCTAATCTAGCTCAAATGCTGCACTGAGTATTAAATCTTTCTCCCCTCTGTTACAAACAGTAGCAAAACCACCCTCTTTTCCACTCCCAGAAGAGTCTCAGCCATTTCCCTCTCTACGAGTTGATACTGTCGCTCACTCTTGTGTCTCTGTTGTATGTGTAGTGCTTGCCACTTTAGGTAAATCGTGCATGGATTTTAGTTCGGATTTGGGATCCAATAGATATGAATTCACCGTTTGGGAAACGCATAAGCTATCTCCATGTACCAGACCAACACACCTGTTGTTACTGGAATTCTAGCAGGAGGATTGAAATGGGCCCCTTCACTGGCCAGAATCAATTCCTCTGTACTCCCTGTCTTCTTCCCTGTCAACGGTTGTGCAGATTCCTACACCCAGCTGAAGAAGTGGGACTGCACTGTTAAACTGGGGAACGACAACAACTTTTTTTTTCTTTATAATAAGCATTAGAGTGAAACAACAAACAACTTTCCTGGCCTTGCATGGGTCACAATTTCAGATGTATTTTTGCAAGTAGGCTTCTGAAGGGTTATTCAAGAAATTAACAATGTTAATGGAAAGCTCTTAGCATTTCTTACCTTCTTTGTGCCTTCCAAACTGAATGTAGAATACTTGTAAATAAGTCACTAAGAGTGTATAATCTCTTTATTTTGAATTTGCTGTCAAATAGCCAGGATGGCCAATGACAGGACACTCAACTGAAAGAAATGCAAATGGGCAGAATCTTGCATACATTTAAAATCAAATGATGGCAATCCTTTAACCCCAGAATGCTCAGGGGATATACACTGATGAGTCATGCAGTCAGCTGCTCTTAAATTCACCTCTGTGTTTTTTCTAACACTCAGAAGATACAATCTGAAGAAAGTTTTAAATATTTGCACTTGTTTTTCTGATAAGAGTTTCTTGTTGGTTGGTGCACTAAATGTCATAGTGTTTATTGTATGGTCTGGTTAACATTTAGTCAAATAAATTGTAAATATTTTACTACATTACATGACAGGTTACAATGTTGCATTCTGTTCTCTGCTAATGGAGAACACTACCAATCACAAGCAAAGAGATCTTAGGAAAGAGCTAATTATTCCAAGAAATTATCTTATACTGGGGAACACCAAGCAGTTTTCACTTCTGATTTCCAGTTCTGCTCTGGCTCACTTGCATTGGGATTTTCAGGGAGGTAAAACCTGTCTTTAAAGCTCCCTGAGGAGTTTCCTGCATGCAGGACAAACTACTGGCTGCATAATAACCCCCTTCTTTTGGTCCCAGGCATTAGGGGCATTCCCAGGGGAAAAGGAAGGTGTGACACACCTGCCATCACACTCTCCTGAAAGATGTCATGTACTTCCTTGGGGGAATTATTTGTGAAATATTCTTACATGTCTCTAGTTCATTGATGATTCTGTATTTGAACTGGATTTCATGCATTGACTTAGAAATTGTTTTTAACATGCCCTGAAATAGCAGCTATTGAATATATTTATTTTGACATCAGTCAGGCATCACTAAGCAGAATCTCCCATTGTCTGAGGTGCCACATGAACAGTAACAACATAATCAGTAACATCTTTAGCATCTTACTAGAACAAGAACCTACAGACTTGCTTAGTATAGACTCAGGTCTGTAATGCAGATTAATGTAAATGAAGGGCACATCCTCAGTTTCTTTCTATCTTCAGATCAGTCATTTAGAGCAATCTGCTGGTTTGTGTGTGTTTTGCATCATCTACCTTGCTATGTTTTTTGTTTGTTTAATTTTTCCGTATTTAAATCAAATAATACATTTAAATCATGAAACCTCCAATGCAATAAAATACTCAGTAGTGGTGCTAAGACTGAGAGTTCATTTCAGCAGGGGCAAAATATTGTGGGGATGCTTCCATTAACACACTTTTTAGTAAGCCAGGATATTAGATACATTCTGTTTCTAGTTCATTTTGAAAATAACACACTGTCCTACTCTTTTTCAGTAAGCAATATGTATTTTCAAAATTAATACCATTACAATGTAGTCTTTAGTCATAGCATAAAAATAACTCTTCAAAATTAGATAAAGCTTTTAGTGAAAGTTTGGTTCATCTGGTAAAGATCAGTAAGACCATAATAAAAAATAAACACTGTAGCTGATTTAAAGCCTCCCTGAAGCCATACTCTGATGTGATTATACAAAGAATCGTAGAATCATAGAATATCCTGAGTTGGAAGTGACCCACGCAGATCACCAAAGTCCAACTCCTGTCCCTGCACAGCATGACCCCAAGAATTACGCTATGTGCTGGAGAACATAGTCCTAGTTCTTCTTGAACTCTGTCAGGCTGGTGCAGTGACCACTTCCCTGGAGAGCCTGTCCCAGTGCCCAAACACCCTCTGGGTGAAGAGCCTTTCCCTAATATCCAGCCTAAACCCCCCCTGACACAACCTGAGGCCATTCCCTTGGGTCCTGTCACTGGTCACCACAGAGATCAGTGCCTGCCCCTCCTCTTCCCCTCACAAGGAAGCTGCAGACTGCAATGAGGTCTCCCCCCAGTCTCCTCCAGGCTGAACAGACCAAGTGACCTCAGCCGTTCCTCACAGAGCTTCTCCAGTCCCTTCACCATCTTCATTGCCTTCCTTTGGACACTCTCCAATAGTTTAATGTCTTTCTTACATCATGGTACCCAGAACTGCCCCCAGCACTGAGGTGAGGCCGCCCCAGCTCAGAGCAGAGCAGGACAATCCCCTCCCTTGCCCGGCTGTGATGCTGTGCCTGATGCCCCCCAGGACAGGGTTGGCCCCCCTGGCTGCCGGGACACTGCTGGCTCATGAAGTGTAAAACCACTGGGACAGGTTGTGTGGAGAAGTGGTGGCATCACCATCCCTGAAGTTATTTAAAAGATTTGCAGGTGTGTCAACTCAAGGAAGTGGTAGTGGTGGACTGTGCAGTGCTGAGTTAACAATCATAGTCAGTGATCTTAAAGATTCTTCACAGCCTAAAATACTCTGTGGTTCTATGCTTTTCTCTGATTTTAGAAAACCACATAACATGATATTGTTTGTATGAACATTTCTTTAAAAATTTTGTATTGCTTTGTTTCTTGAGCTGCTGTTTTGTAAAGCCCCTCTGTTACACCTTTTTTTTTTTTTTTTTTTTTGGTAATGAGCAAACTGGTTTCAAATTATACATATGAGAAGTACAGAAAAAATACTGTTGTCTCTCCAATATATTCACCCAGTTTTTGTGATGTACAGCACAAAGTTACAGGACACTTTTTAGTCATCTCCATTAAAAGCAATACATACACATAATTCAATATAATGGCTTAGATCATCAACTACTGTAAATTAACACTTTTCTGCAGAAGGGACTTGCAAGAGATGAGAGTACTGACTGCTGTGTATAAGCACCCAAAAGCACACAGAGAGCTGTGTTTCAGTATTCTAGTTCATAGACACATGATATAACATCTTTTTATATAGAAATACTTGGCAGATGACACATTGCATTTTCAATAGTAACCTACTTTCTTTCCTGGCTAACACATTTCTTTGTTTTCAAGGTTTGGGGTGGGGGCAGGGTTGTTTGGGTTTTTTGTTTTGTTTTTTTTTTTAATGAAAGTAGGGTGTATTAGCTTTCACTTCTCCATATCAAATCCCATTTTTGTCATCCACATTTGCTCTTACTAGAAGTACCTGAATTATTTTTCTGCCTTCATTTGTGTTTCCACACACTCTAGAGGGAAAAAGTGGTTAAGAAAATCAGAAAGAGATCCTTATGGCACTTATATTTAATACTTCACAAAATGTGACACCCCTCACTTATGGTCTTAAACAATTTTGTGAAACAGTGTGCCATTTTTCATATCCAGGCATTTTGAATTAATCTAAGTTTAAGATCCTGTTGTCTTCACATTCAGAGAGACACTGCATGGACTCTGTTACTGGGAATGTAGAAAAGATCTTTCCAAGCATTAGGAGAAACAGTCCCTCCCTCTTACCTAAATAAAACCATTTAAAATGCTATTTACTGTGGCTAAATGAGTTTAGATATGCAAAGAAATCGAAATCTTCTTTATCTGTGCACTTACATATCTGTAGTAAGACTATTGCTGCTAATCATACCTCTGTGTTCAGATTGTTATCAAAAACTATAAGAAATGTGATGAACTGAGAATTGGAGGGAGCCACTGTTATAGAAAGTTGTGCTATTTTATACAGCTCATCCTGCTTCCTAAAGTTTTGAGATTTTGGCATCAGCATCCTTTTCATGAGAGTAAATGGAATTAATTTTTAGCTTAGATTACGATTTCAAATAATTACTGTTTAAGGACTGTGCTTCTCATTTCATTTGTAGAATACTTATATATACACTAGTTATATATTTATGCCAGCAAGAAGTGCTTGTGTACATTCCTTGGTAGCATGTCCTTTAAAATATCTCTTCTCACTCATTCTTCATTCTCTCCTGCTGCTCATGATTAGAGACTTAAAATAATTGTTTAGTTCCTGTATCTTTCACTCTCTCTCTACATTGTAATTTTTTTTCCCTTATTGTAGAGCACATTATTTTTTTTTTTCAACCAGGAGAAGATATTCCAACATCCAAAATTCCTTCCAGTGAATGTTCTGGAGCTTTGAGGGCTCAAAAGTAGAAAATTACTCTTGCCAGCCCTCATGCCAAAAAATTGTAAATTTATAAAATATAAAGAGCTTTTGAACCTCTGTGTGAGAGAGATGCTGGGGGTAGATGTGTCCCTTGCCTGTAATAAGTGTGTATTTGCCCAGCTCACTAAAAACTTCTGGACAGTTTTGTTCAGGGAGTTTCCTTTCTCTGCCTGCTACCTGTTGACTTCTACAAGCACAAAGACTTATGGTTATCTATATAAACATTATTTTAAAGAATGTTTCTGCAAGGAATGCAAAAGGATATGCTTGAACATTGGCAAGTTTGGGCTCCAAGTTTCTTGATATATGTGTACATATTTCAGTCTGAAATAATTGAACAGAAAAAAGTGCATGTTTATATGAAGCTGAAGGACTCAGACTTTACACCAAAGGTATATATCTTTTCTTCTGTGAATATGTACCACAGTTTGCTAATAAAGACCACTTTACAGAATAATTCAGCATTCAATATTTGCCCTAGATATTCATTCAGTATTTTACCCAACCTTGTTTGGTTCAGGAATGATTAGAAAGTAAATTTTGAATGTAGGAAAAAAAATAGTAGTCTAGTAGATAAATTATAAATTTCAATCAGCTTTAAAAAAGGAAAGTTATTTAATAAAACTTATAAAAGATAAAAACTCATTGCCATATGGAAAAAAAAAATCACTTTATGAATAAGGTGAAAATGCATTTTAATTTTCCTTTTTCTTTTTTTCTTTCCTTCACAGGTCAATAACACGCTCTTATTATCGCAATTCTGTGGGTGGCCTGCTAGTATTTGACATCACAAATCGACGATCTTTTGAACATGTGAAGGACTGGCTGGAAGAAGCAAAAATGCACGTGCAGCCCTTTCAGATTGTGTTCCTGTTAGTAGGACACAAATGTGACTTAGTGTCACAGCGCGAGGTTACAAGAGAAGAAGCTGAAAAACTGTCATCTGACTGTGGTATGAAATATATAGAAACTTCAGCAAAAGACGCCACAAATGTTGAAGAGTCCTTTACAATTCTTACACGAGACATCTATGAACTTGTAAAAAATGGAGAAATCTCAATACAAGATGGATGGGAAGGTGTCAAAAGCGGCTTTGTTCCAAATGTTGTACATTCATCAGAAGAAGCTGTAAAGCCCAGGAGACAATGCATCTGCTGAGTTGTAGCATGCCAAAGAGCCCATGGGGTGTTTAGAAGATGATGCCAATCTAAATGACAGAAAAATAATTTTGAAACAATATTAGATCATGGCATAGCTGAATCATAGAACAGTAATTTGGTTTTGTATCCCTCTGTCTAGGTTATAATCCATAACACTTTAAGTGCTTTTTTTCTTTGCAGAGTACAATAACTTCATGTGGTCTCATGAAAAAAGTTATATATTGCTAAAGGGAAACTAATTCTGTAGCAAGACACTGAGAAAGTGCAATAATCATCATGACCATATCCTCGCTTGGGCTTTGTATTTTGAATACTGTTTAAAATCAAATCTTGTTAGATGAGGATCAGATGCGCTCGTTACTTTTGTTCATCCTGCCTTAGCTTTGGACAAGAAAATATTATACCTTATACTTTTTTAATGAGATTCTTTACTCAAACGCAGGGTTGCTAATGACCATTAAAGTTTAGGATGCTGTAGAATTTGATAATAACGATAACTGTAAGGAAAGCAAACTGAAAGATTGCTCCAATAGGGAACGCTTTTGATATGACAATGAATACAAGCCTTACTAAAGAAAAAGAATGTTTTAGAAAAGATGATTTATTTGTATACAAAAATGGGGAATAGAAACAATGGAATTTACTATTAAATATTTTCTGAATTGCCAATGAAACTAAACATAACATCACATATGATCCAGCTGTTATTTGATTTGTATACAAAACAGCTTTCCCAACCACTGGAGTTACATTTCAGCGGCCAGATCCTCAGCTGGGTAATTATCATTGTCACTCTGATGCCTATGGAATTACGCTAATTTACACAAACAAATTCCATATTAGCTTTAAGAAATAAACCTACTTCAAACTAGAAGTAAAAAAAGTTAAAAAGTGCTGCAACCCATGGGAACCCAGGCCTTAAATGTGAATAGAGCTAAGTTTTATTCTTAGCCAGCAAATGTTAAACTGTTGTTTAAAACTGTTACAAATTTGGAGAGGAAAGAAGTTCTAAAAAAATGCTCATCTACAGAGAGTCAAGTTAGAGAACTCCTGTTCTAAGAAAGAAACCCATAATAGCTTCTAATAACAACAACAGTAGGAGAAATCTGTGATCATGTAGCATTTGACTGAGCTTGGAGTCATCTTCCTACTCCTCTGAATATAACACACACTAGCTTTATGCAAACTAGGTCTAGCACGTAAATACCAAATAAATCTATTTCTATTTTATTGTAGTAGTATAAAAGATGAGTTGATCTCCAGAGTTAATAAGCATCTACAATTTATCTGGCATACTCATAACCACCAAACATCAAACCAGTTATCATCATATAAAAGTGTGTTATTAATGTACAATTTTCCTTTTTCAAGATCAGCTAACAAGTCTATCTAATCTAATTTTCTTCTTCAACAAGCATATGATTGGTTTTCTCTCAGGTTATTTTTATGCTCTTTTACAATCCTTTTTCAAACATTTTGTAGTATGAGGCAGGTTGTATGGTTCCAGTTACTTCATATATTTAGGGGAACTAAAATCATTGACTTCAAAAGCTTAAAAGTTTAAGCTTTTCTAAAGCCTGAGTCTTACTTGCACTGAGGCACAGTTACACTATCATGGAAGGATACAGAGGCCTTAAGATAAACAGGAATCAGCCTTAATTCATTAGCAAATAGAACAGTTAATTCTAGTCTCAGCATGCCACAGAGTAATTGCTGCGAGCCTGATTCTCTATTAAACTACATATACTGACACCAAATCAACTTTGTTTGGAGGGTATTCTAAGCCCTCTTTACAAATTAAATATGACTACAGATGCCAAAAGGTAGTGCAGAATCAGGCTGTGTGAATTTGACACTGATTCCCTTATCATAAGAGGTGCATCTCAGAAGATCTCTTTGTTGTTTAATCAATTTATTTAATTAAATAAATCAGTGACTGGGGAGTCAACAGACCCAAAGCCTACCACTGGTTCACTGTGTGTTTCTGAGCAATGCATTTGTGGGTTTTGCGCCTCACCTTCTGTATCCAAATATAGAGATGTTTGTTCTTCCTCAAATTCACAAACTGCTGAGACCAAATAAGTCTATATGATTTTCAGTCCTGGACTCTATCCTCTGTGTGCTACCTGGCTGTGAGTGTTTAGCACTGTGGGATGTGGATACTGGTTTCTTCTGACACCCAAATAACAATAATTTTAAAAAATAAATTAAAACATCCTTATAAGTGCCAGGTATTGATGTGAATTTACATTTCATTGCATATTTCATTATTTTTAAATGAAAATCTTGCATCTTAAATTTTTCTTCCTGAATACTCTGGAGCTAGTGAGCTTTTCATTTGGTATGAAACAAATGGGTTGTACTGGGGAGAAAAAGGATTGGGAGAAGAGGGGTAGGAGGGGAGGTATGCACAGAGAAATAAACAATCAGAACAGAGCCTTAATCTCTGTTGTCAATGTTGTACCTGTGGTGTCACATTTGTTACACAGGGAATAGAGCTTTTAACCAGATTCAACTGTGTAAGGAACTGGTATTGGCAATGCAACTAGAAGAGAAGTTCACTACATTTTAAAGTACTGTGCACATAGTTGTCTTATTTGTAATTCCTAAAAATGTAGATTAACATGTACTTTCAAACATTGTCTGTCTTTATGATATATTAAAACACTACTGTATCTTCTCACTACACACTTGCAGTTGATAGAAATGTCTGACAAACAGATAATTTGTCAAAATCCATAATTTTCTTTTCAGATGCTTAGCAACATGATATGTAAGTAACAGCTTGAATGAGCTGTAGAATGGGTTATAATTCAGTGCATGTATATTCTTTTTCCCCTCAAGGAAGCATGAATATTGACAACAGAATTTAATCCCCAGAAATTACAGAAATCAGATAAATCTTACTTGGTAGTCAAATTTAAAAAATAGAAAATATTTTATAAGAAAACACAAACTTTGCAAATGAAGATTTGGTAAATCCCAGATAGGAAATGGAAAATGCTAGAAAAACTTGACAAAGGTTTTACTTAGATTCATAGCCCTGGCAAATGAATGGATGGAAAGTATTGTTTTGCACTCCTAAAATGTTTAAACTTTCATGGCTTTTATTTTAAGTTTGATGAAAAAGAGTAAATATCTTCCTCTACTCATTAAAATACTTTACACATTAATTCTTAAGATATTTTGGCTTGCTCATAATTGTATCTGTCCCATGTAAGAAGCAGAAACTAGCCTCATACCTTAGGAATCAACTAAGGAAAAGATTATAGGTGGAAAATGTTTGATTTGTTCATTTATGCCTTCAGTATGGAATAGACTCAGTGATCTAACTTCAAACTGGCGACTGTCTTGTGCTCACAGAAAATGATACAAGCTTGACTGAGCCCCCAGGCACACAGTGCTGCCCTGTGCTGAGATCCCTTCTGCCTCAGATGAATGGTTACTGGTACCCAAGCTGCCTGTCTGAAAGCAAGGGTGGGTGGATGCACTGTGATCACAGATATTTCAGTCTGAGCATTTCAGCTCCCTTAGGGAGTACATGCTTCATTGCCCTCTTTTTACATAATTAACATCCAGGAAGAGTGCTTTTTCCCCCACACTGAAGATCCCACTCAGAGAAATCTCCACCTTTGTTTTTTACACAGCTGGCACAGCAATTTCAGCAGCCTTTATTCATTCTTGAAGAAAAAGAAAGAAGGCTGAGGGCTTATTCTCTACATGGGCATGGAACCTTACCACAAACATGGTGGACTGTTTAGGAAATCACTAAATATCAAAAAACAATTGTCAATACCAAAAATTTGTGTTGCTCATTCCTCAGAGTCTAGAGACTATCTTGCAAATAAGTGAATGAAATTAAAATTCTAAAAGAGGAACCACCCATCACCCACAGAGGCTATTTGGAGTAGCAGGCTCTTTATGGAGCGTTAGGAAAATCTTAATTTAAACTCAAACTGAGGAATTCAAAATCCCAATCCCGAGCTGCTGGAATGGATCACTGTCTTTGAAAGTATTTAATTCATTTACTTCTCAGAGCAAGGAATGTTTTAGGCTAGGCCTGAGTTATGCAGGGCTGGATGCTCAGTGTGTAACCAGCAGAGGGATGACTGCTCCCTGGGAGCAGTGCTGGGAGCCTGCTGACAGCAGCCCCCAGCAGCCTCTCAGGCTACAAGGGCAGCTCAAACTGAGACTAACTGATCACAGGCTGCCAAAGGTTCACCTTGCAGCTGAAGAGCTTCTACAGAAAGGTAACAGTAGAAGTAGCAAGCCCAAAATCTCTGCATTGTAAATAAAACCAGTGTCTAGGTAAAGAAACGGGCATTTCAGCTATAGTTCAATTACTGCAGTTCCTCACTGCTGTGGCTTCAAATCTGCGCAATCTATGAGAACTGAGTTTTCCTGTTCCGTGAAAATTGTGGAAGGACAAACTGAGCCTCCTGTAGCAATGAAGTCAGTCACCAGGGAGAGGGCTGCAGAAGATAAGGGTGGAAGGAGGACACATATAATTTCTTCCATCCCTGCACAGCCCTGGGGAAGAAGTGAGATTAACCATGGTCAGAGCCCTTAAGTCCCCGTAGAAATATCCATCACTGCAGTGGGACCTGTGGGATGTAAAGAAAGCACCAAGGAGCTGGATTTGGCACAGAGATGCAGGCTCCTGATTCCCTAACTCCAGCGCTCCCTAAGGACAGGTTACCTCTGTGGCACAGCTACAGGAAAAGTTGGGTGTATGTCTACACTGCACAGTGTCTGCATTGCATAAAGGCAAATGTCTATGTTGCAGGCTTTTTCCCCTTTCACCTTTCCCCTCCATGTGGTTTCTTTACAGGAAGGGACTGTCAGAAGACATATCTGGCACCAAGGTCTGACAGTGAGCAGGGCAATAGTTGAAGATTTTAGTGGTAGTTGCTAAGTATTAAGGTACTAAAACTGAGGGGAGGAATTGTGGAAAATATTCCAGTCATAATCTTAGTAATAAAAGCCTTTCAGGGCTGGCACTGCTCTGCAGCACTTTCGAGAATTGTCTATTTTGGTTAAGTTTTCAATGCCAAGGAAATAGTTCAGCTATTTAGTAATAATTTATATTAGTTTGTCATTCAAAAATAATTACTGCATACTATTCAGGGAGAAAAGTCTTCTCTGTGCAGATCGTTTTAGTAATTTTGCTGACATGAAGCTTGTGTTGTGTTTTAAACATAAAGCTATGCCAGGACATAATTTTAAATACACAAATCCCATCAATCAGACCATTGAAATGCACAGTTCATTTTATTGGGATTTTTCTCTGCCCAATTCTCTGTAGAAAAGAGTCTGATTCTCAGAGAAGTTTTTATAACAAAAGAGAGGCAAAGCTTATTGGGCACTGAAAAAGAGATGCATATGTGAACAAGTGTCAGAAAAGTAGAACGTATTTTTTCTTTTGGTATCCTCTTTCACTCTACTGTGCTTCACAGGCCAGCTATAGCTCCCCAAGCACATAGTGAATGGAACAGTAAATTTCTAGCTGTCCAAAAAACACTGGCAGATCAAATGTAATTCCCCACAGCAGTTCTCCGAAACTCCGTGCTTGGGTGAGGAACAATGGCCACATTCTGCCTAATGCATGCCATGTGCTTCTCTGTGTCCCAGGAGGGATTTGGCCTCAACAAAAACCCTCCCGCAGGTTCTGCCTGCAAACAGTCATTCTGCACCACCCCACACCATCCTCAGTGACACTCAGGATAAAAAGTGTAAGGTTTTCCAGCAAGGAAACTATGAGGGAATAGCACCGTGGTCTAAAAAATACATCAGAGAAAAACAAACATCAGGGAGAGAGGTTATTTAAGCTAAAGAACAATGCTGGCGTGAGAACAAAGGGGTCATACTGAGATGCACAGGATAGGTGGTTCTGGTGATGCTAAGAGACCAAAGCCTTGGGCCGCTTTGCAACAGCAACAGCTTTACTACCTCTACTACCACATGCAAGCAATTTCTCCAGACTGCCATTGTTATTAATCGAAAAGGTGATGTGAAGCCCAGATAGTAAACACCAAAAGTGTTTCCTTACTTGTTGAAATGGAAGCAAACATAGGAGAAGTCTGGTCACTGACAGTGCTTCTTTTTTCAGCTACAGGTAGATGTCTGAGCATTCTTGCCCTTTCAAAAAGATTATCTTTGGTGACTCATGGCACATTTTATGCATGAGGTCATTGTGACAGTCCACAGCAGTGATAAACAAGAATTTCCCACTGAAAGAAAAACTGTAAGTTTTAGTATCCCTACTGAATATAACTAGTTGGATTGGAGAAGGGTTTAAAATGGACTATTTAAGCATCACATGTTTTTTTCCCTTCATGGACTAAGTGAAGATTAGAGGAAACTGTGTTCCTCTTATTGGTTCATCTTACTCCTTTCAGGACATTAGAAGAGATCTTAGAAACACATATGTTTCTCTGATGCAACTCATTCAAAGCCTGGAATCAGTCCACACCAAGACATCTAGAATATTATGACGGTATTAATTTCACTGATCATCCAAATCTTAATGAGCTGTTCCTTGCAAATCACTTTGAAGCAGTGAACATGTCTGGGACTGTCATTCCCCTTGCTTTTTACAATCCATGCATAGGATTAAAACTGTAGGCCAATGTAGTAGCAATCAATAATTAATATCTTCATTACTAGCAGAATTTAATAATAATCCATTTGTAATAGAATTAAAGCAAATCAAACAATATTGCATAACACTGAGCACTGTCAAAGCACCCTGAAGTGGTACTGAAACACTATAAAACCTTAAGGCTCATAGATGTCTCTACTTCCCAGAAAATTCATGCACAGATCTTCACGGGAAAAAAAAGAACCAAACAATTACAGCCATTGTGTCAACAATGCAAAATGAGATGCACACTATTTTTAGTATGAGTAAAAAGTACCAGTGTTTCCTTGTCTCTCTGCTTCTCAGATGTTCAAGTTCTCCTTATTCCTTGGCTAGCCTGTTCATAACTATTGCACAAGAGCATATTTGGGCATGAACTCTCATACTCAGTGCAGTCATTGCTGACCCATCCAGGCCAGCAGCATGAATGTTACGTAATGTCTACCAGGTGCCTAAGGGGACTCAGAAAAGACCAGACCATGAAAAGTACATTGGTGCTCCTGCACCCTGGGTACTTCCACATCTTTTGTGGCAATGTTTGGTAAGTTTGGATGAAAAGTACAAATACAGAGAAATCCATCATTTTCAAACATAGCATTTTAAAATACTGCCCAACTTAATTTTGCTTCAATGTTGGTTAAGCAAAATTTGCAGTTATAGCATTCTAATGATCTGTGTTGTAGTTTAGTACTCTAAGCTTTGCATCAAAGGCACCTGAGATGAAGTTCTCTATAGTAGTTCATCTTCTGGCTCTATGTATCAAAAGTAGTTTATAAACATCACTGAATTGTGGCATTAATAGCAAACACATATTAAAAAAGAAACTAATAGAAAATGAAAACAACAAAAAATATCAAATAATTGGAAATGCTCACATTTTTTAAGGGTTTGGGCAAAAGAGAATGAATCATTTCATAGAGTAGTGGCTCCTAGAAATGGCTGCCTCTGTGTCACATCCTGCAGAATATTCTGTATCTCAGCTCCTCTGGTACCTACATACAGACTGGGCAGAGGAGAGGCTGAAGCACACATGCACAATGCACACATTTTACTGCCCCTGCTGGAGGCCTCCTAACCTCAGCACTGTTGTAGAATATATGTGCAATGGAAAGTGCATAATACAATTAGATCTATATTGCATAATTATATATTATATGCAAAACTGTATAACCGTGTCCATTATATGTGCAATAAATACTATATACTTAAATATTGATAGTATAAAACATATAAGAACAGCAAAGAAAAAAAATCATAAACTAATTGGAGCATTTGGAATCTGGAAACTTTGTCAAAATAGGAGATTATTCAATACCTTATTTTTACTTCTCAATTAAAAGAAGGCCTTAATATGACTATCATAATTTATTCATTTAATAAGGCTGCAGGCCACATTTTGTCAGCATTATCAAAACTTTCACAACTGTGTACACATTTCTTAAATATTTTGTTACAGATTTCTTACACGTCAGGGTTCCTATCCTCTGCAATATGAATTTATCTTCAAATCCTGTGCCCCAGGAGAGGCGAAGGGAGGACTGCCATCCCTGGCGGCCAATGGTGTAGCTGTCCATGCTAATGACTCAGGGTAGGCCAGGTTGAACAAGAATCATCAGCTCCCAGGGCTCTGAGCCTGCGTGAAAAGATTGGTGAAATTCTCTTCAAGGTAAATTTTTAGGCAAAGGGTAAATGTTTTAAGAGAAAAGAGAGATTCTGTATATAATTCTGAAATTTTCCAAATCCTTCTCAAAAGGTGCCTAAATGCAAACTTTTCCTACTAAATATTCCCTTGTGCTGGACTCTGCCGAACCTTGTGTGTCCCTTCCTACTCTGAAGATGCTGTGATCACAGACTCACAGAACAGGTCAGATTGGAAAGGACCACAGGGGGTCATCTGGTCCAACCTCCCACTCTCAAGCAGGGCCATCCTAGAGCAGAGGATTGTGTCCAGGCTGTTCTTGAATTCTCCAGTGAGGGAGACTCCACAGCTTTGCTGGGCAATCTGTTCCAGCGCTTGGTCACCCTCACAGCACACAAGTTCTTCCTTATGTTCAGACGAAACTGCCCATTGCCTCTTGTCCCAACTGCTGGGCACCACTGAGAAGAGCCTGGTCCATCCTCCTGACACCCATCCTTCAGATAACTTACACACTTACTGATTCTGTAAATAGAACACTTGTGACAACTGGCACGAAGTGTGACGGCTTAGCCGGAGATTGGGTGTAGGGCACCCTTGGCTTCGCAGCACACAGCTTAGTGCGGCTGGCCGTGCGGGGCTGTGCCCGCGGTGCGCTCCGCTCCCTCCAGCCGGGCGTGCGGGGGCTGGTTGGTTAGTTAGTTAGTTAGTTAGTTAGTTAGTTAGTTAGTTAGTTAGTTAGTTAGTTAGTTAGTTAGTTAGTTAGTTAGTTAGTTAGTTAGTTAGTTAGGTCCCGCCGAGCCCCTCCGGCAGGGCCGTGAGGGCAGCAGCGCCGGGGCCAGGCCGGCAGGGGGCGCTGCAGGCGGGGCCCGCAGCCGCGCTGGGCGGCGGGGCCGCTCCCGGCGCCGCATCATGTGGGCCCGGCCCCTTCCATGGAGCCGCGGCCGCCGAGCGCCGCCCGGGCGGACGCCGCCATGAGGCTCTGAGGGGCGGCTGCGTGCGGAGAGCCCGGCCGGTCCCAGCTCTGCCGAGCTCCCCGAGCCTCGCCGCGGGACAGAGAAGCCCAACGCTGAGGCCGCCGCCGCCGCCGCCGCTGCTGCTGCTGCTGCTGCCGCCGCCGCGGGTCTGGCCGGGCGGGCGGGCGGCCCGGGGCCATGTAAAGCGGCAGCGGCCGGTAGGAGCCGAACCGAGCTCGAGCAAAGAAGCCGCCGCTGCCGGCCGGGGAGGCCCCGCAGTGGAGATCATGGCGACGTCTAATCTCTTAAAGGTGAGAGCGGGGCCCGGCCGAGTCCTGCGGGAGGAGGGGGGAGGCGGCGGGGCCGGGCGGCCCTGCGGGTGGCCGGACCGGGCAGGGCGGTGGGGACGGGGGCAGGGTAGGGTCGGGCCGCGGGTGCCGCTGCCCGGAGTTGCCGCTCCCAGGGCCCCCCCGCAGGTGAGCGGCCTTGGGCTGCCGGCCTCGGTCCGGCCTGGCCCGGCCCCGCCGGCGGCTGCTGCCTGCTGCCAGCACCGCGCTCCTTCCTCCGGCTCTCTCTTCCCAAACACCCCTCGTTGGGAAACAGGGTTGCGTCGTGCGGATAGACAGGGCACGATGTCTTCTCTTTGTTTATTTAAGAAAACCCGGGTGTACGGCAAATGAGTTTTAAGTTAAACAAAGAGTTGGAAATTGTCTTCGCTGAGGGCAGGTACCGTTATTGGGGTGGCCACCGTGTTCCAGTTTTTTTGTTAACTGCAGTTTTCCTGCAAAGGAAAACTCCCCGAGGCCTTTCGCTTACGTTAAGCAGCTTTGCTTTTGTAGTCATATGTTTTCAAGCACTTTCCCGGCGTTTGATGGCAGATGTCAGTCAGCCCAAGCTGCCGCAGGTTGGAAGAGAAGATTTCAGTGGGACAGTCCAGTGTCTGAGCTCAGGGCTGCCTGCCCTGATCTTTGCGGTATGTATGAGGTGAAGACTCTGTGTGGCCTTTGAGGCCATGCTAGCAAAAGGAAGGTGGGCCTTCCTCGAAACCACTGTTATTGCCTCCAGTGTTTCTGTAACACCAGTGAACTACAGCGCTAAGATAGGCCTAGGGCAGCCTGCCTGCTTAACTCGAGGAATTGACAGTTGAAGATCTATATGAGTATAGCCATAAACATGTGTTCAGCACTATGTATTGTAGTTCAGTGTGGTCCTGAAGAAGCTCTGCTTGCATTTTATTAACCTGACCTAATTTGGATGTATAGATCCAGCCTGAATCTGCTGGTTTTATTTATTACTCGGAGACACTCATTGTGAAGAAATGAGAAGTAATCTATCCCTTTATTGCTTCCTGATAGTCCAAAAAAAATCTCTATATTAAAAAGATATGATTAAAAAAAATCTTCCTTGAAATTGAGATGTAATTGAAATTAATTTTAATTCCTGTTTATTTTTATGCCTGTAAGAGGCTGTTAGATATTTAAGCAGATAACACTTCCATATACTTAAAAATCTAATTGAGGACCGCAAGAACACAGGCAAGGAAAATAATGTCCTGTAAGAAGAAATGTCATTTTTGTGGAAAAGCATGTGTTCACAGCAGGGCTCAGACAGTTTTATCACTTGTTAATGTTTTAGGCCATCTCTTTGCTGTACTTTTGAGGATTTCTCAAAAATCCGACATGTGCTTTGATAATACACATGGGGGGATAGCCCACAGTAGATAGGAGAAGCGTAGGCCTGTAAGATTGGTCAGCATTCCACCTCAGCTCTTTTGAAAGAGCAAAAGGTAGGAAAAACAGAGACCTTGACTTGGCAAGATGGCACTTGCCAAACTGAAGTTGTTGCGTTAACTAGTCATGTTTTTGCCACTGGCCTTTGAGTCGTCAATATTTTATATTGACAATAACATATCTGCCCAGAGATCTTGTAAAATAGGCTTCTCTGGCCACTCAAAGTGTTATTAAGCACTTAGTTTACTAATTAATGAGTTTTCCAATGACAATAAAGTATTATTCCCACATTACAGAAAGAAAGATTATACAGTGATTTGATTTTGTTTATAATGGCAAGATAAACCAGTGTGAGAATTAGAACTAGGTAAGGTCCTTTGTTCCCCAGTTCCACTCATCAGAGTGCTCTCTGAGAAGCAAACTGTTGGTTCCAGGTCAGTGTTGCCTGACAGTGCCTTGTTCCATCAGAGTATGTCCAACATCCTTTTGCTTTCATCTTTAAGGGGAAAAAAAGACAATGGCTGGGCACAATAAAAATCCCCGGCTAAGAAAAGAGAGGTGTTAAAATCTGTAAGTCTTTTCCATATCTTTCCCAAATAAGCCTGCATAATCAAATCTAAGTTGAGTATAGACAGGTCTTAGTTTTGCCAGCATGAACAGGATCTGAGCATTTTGTTTTGTTTTCCCCCATCCTGGTTCAGCTTTCCACATAATTGAAAAAATAAAGTGAAATACTCCTTTCTGATTCTGTTAACAGATACTAGCTGAATCCAAATCTGACTGGCTGTCATAATTTTTGAGGGCATCATTTAAACTCCACTAGTGCTTAATTTTCCTAATTGTAAATTCTTCTTTAGTGAGAAGCGTCTTCTTGGAGAGCTTTCTTTAAATGCAAAATTAGAATGACCAATCATGCTGAATCCTGGTGAGACAGAACAAACTGTAATGTGATGGAAATGCTGCTGTGCTTAGTAAGAGCCATTACAGGGTCAGCTGGTGTCTGCCCTACCTGTAGCAGAGCTGCTCTCACTCATTGAGACAGTGACTTTCTGATAGGTGACCAAGCAGTTTCCATCTGAGTCCCCTAGAGTTTTTTGTCTCAACACACATGTGACACATTTAAAGTGGGGTACTTGATTTTGGGGGCCCTGTAGGACTTGTAATGTATTCTCTTTGCAGTGATGATACAGTCTAAAGCAATTCGCCCATTTGATAAACACTTAAGTTTTACTGCAGTTTATGGAGCAGAACGTACCTCAGTTTATTGTAGCACAAAGAAAACTTGTAGCTGTATCCATGCTGGCAGATCTTGACACTATTGTAGAGCCTTACTGGAGCTGCTAGCAAATACAGGAGTCTGTCCTTGCAAGATGAACTCCAGATGAGCCTGATATTAGGAAAGAAGCCAGCAAAGGAAGCAACAGTTTTTCTCTGGGCTTAAATGAAACGAGAATCAATCACTATTTACCTTTGCATTGATTTCAGCTGTTTGTCACTGGCAACTAGGAACACATTTGAAGTTTTTGAATTTTTTGACTTGAAGTGCATGTTTCCAGGTCTGTATTTAAAGTTTGCCTGTTTCTTCCATGGTGGTTTCCATGTAGGATATTCTTAAGCTAGGAAGTATTGCATGGTAGTTACTTACATACAAAAGCTTTTCCTGTGGCTACTTTTCTGCTTTGAATAGAAACTTGCTACAAGCATTACACTGATTTTTAGAGCTACTTGTAGCAGAGATTAATCAGACAGTGCTTGTTTCCATCTAGGACATCGTATTTCCTACTTCATCCCTCTGGGACCTGGCTTTAGTATAAATACTGTGTGAAAACAATGAAGTCATAAAGGTGAAGATGTTAACTCTGATGTAGATCAGATGTACAGTAAGACCCAGAGAATGCTGCATTTCTATAATACTGTGTAGAGCATCTGGCAGAGACCAGGGCTGAATTTCTGTGTGGCCTGAGATAAAGAGTACCCAGCAAAGAGAGTTCCAAAGAGACATTTTGAAGTTCAAGGGGAGAGTAGCATGAAGGTCTTGGTGTATCGCCTTGCCTTGTTATATCTGTTAAGTGCTTATGCATAGAATTGAAGAACAGGGAAAAGTATAAAGTGTAAAGTAGTATGTATTTCAAGTAAAGTTTAGTGTTAAAATGGAACTTCAAATCTTTATGAACAAATTTAATGAAGTGAATTTTAAAACAAAGTATTTCGTAAGTGGAGTTATTTTTCAAAGCATTAAAATTTAAACACTAAAGTGGCTACTTAGCCATGGTGTGACTATCAACTGTAGTCTATGTTTTCAGAGAAGATTTGATAAGTAGAGTAATTTTATTTCATCAAAGGTATGCCTTATTGTCCTGTTTAACTTTCCTTTGGAACTGTGATTGGAAGCAGAGTAGGAAAGAAAAATTGCTAGGAAATACTGCTCAGAAATTGCATGTATGACTTTGGTAACAAATAAGAATTGCCACTGTTTGATCTCCTACTGTAAAATCTGTTTTCTCTCGTGCACTAATAGGGATGTAATTAATGAATGGGATGATACACAGTAGATGGTATTTAATGCACCCTTTCTTCCTGTAATTACTGTATAAAATTGTAATGTCATGGAAGCCTAAATCTACCTAGATAATGTTGCTGTAATTTTTTTTATTTCAGTAAAGCTTTCCATACTGTCTCTCAGAGCATCCTTCTGGAAAAAATGTCCAGCTACAGCTGGATAAGCACATCATGTGATGGGTGAACAACTGGTTCATTATAGGGAATTGATGTCAATGGATAGGTGATGTCAGACTGGAGACCTCACAAGTGGGGTTCTATGGGACTACATCTTAGGCCCTGTGCTCTTCAACATCTTCATAAATGGCTTGGGTAAAGGACTGGAAGGAACACTGAGCAAGTTGCCGGATGATACAAAACTGGGAAGAGCCACTGACTCCTTTGAAGGCAGGGAGGCCATGCAGAGAGACCTGGACAAATCAGAGGGCTGGGCAATCACCAACCAGATGAAGTTCAAGAAGGGAAGGTGCTGGATTCTGCACCTGGGATGGGGCAGCCCTGGATGTACTGGGGGATGAGATGCAGGAGAGCAGCGCTGCACAAAGGGACCTGGGGGTCCTGGCTGGCAGAAGGTTGAACATGAGGCAGCAGTGCCCTGGCAGCCAGGAGGGCCAACCCTGTCCTGGGGGGCATCAGGCACAGCATCACAGCCGGGCAAGGGAGGGGATTGTCCTGCTCTGCTCTGAGCTGGGGCGGCCTCACCTCAGTGCTGGGGCCAGTTCTGGGAGCCACAGTATAAAAAAGACAAACTATTGGAGAGTGTCCAAAGGAGGGCAACGAAGGTGGAGGAAGGCTTTGAGGGGAAACTATACTTGGAGTGGCTGAGGTCACTTGGTAAGTTCAGCCTGGAGGAGACTGAGGGGAGACCTCATTGCAGTCTGCAGCTTCCTTGTGAGGGGAAGAGGAGGGGCAGGCACTGATCTCTCCTCTCTGTGGTGACAGGACCTGAGGGAATGGCCTCAGGTTGTGTCAGGGGGGGTTTAGGCTGGATATTAAGAAAAGGTTCTTTACCCATAGGGTGTTTGGGCACTGGGACAGGCTCTCCAGGGAAGTGGTCACTACACTCGCCTGGCAGAGTTCAAGCAGCATATTTGGACAATGTTATCAGACACATGATGTGACTCAAGGATGGTCCTGTGCAGGGGCAGGATTTAGGCTTGATGCTCCTCGTGGGTCCCTTCCAACTCAGCTTATCCTGTATTTCTGTGAATTGTTTATTGAACTTAAAGAATAGTTGAGTAGGATTTTTCATCCATTAATTTTATTTTATCTTCTCTTAATTAAAGAATAAAGAAGGAAATGTGGAAATAAATTTACTCCTATGTATAGGAAACACCGTTCTGAACTTCTCTAATGTGATTTCAGGATAAGCTTTATTTGAGGAATTCTTTTTAAGTAGTCAGATGTTGGTTACAAGTGGACTCAGGGATTTTTTACAACTGAGGTTGAGTTTTATTTCTGCTTATTAGGATTAAGTACGTAATCACAATCAAATCATATAAACAGTTGTGTTTGCAGTCCTCCTCCCCAGGTTTTATCTTCAGCTGTTTTTGGTGAAGGGCTGAATTACACTTCTCAAGAATTGCAGAACAAATTTTTTGACCTGTTCCAAAAAAAACTTAAGGGGTCTTCTGTGATGTTTCATTCAAAAGGAAAACTTTTGAGGAAGTTGCTTTTTCTTTTTTATATAATGCCTTTTCTGGAACTTGCATCTGTTCAGTAGCTGATATTTTATGTTCATTTATCCTTCAAAGAGGAACTTGGAACAGAAATATCTGCAAGTAGAAGCTAACAATTTTCATGGGACTGGGAAAGATTAGAGCAACACATCAAACATTAGGAAATAATTGTAAAGCGGGCTCTATATAGGGGAAGCATTCTGTTGATGATTTTCAAAGATGATGCATTCAAATTACTTTTTTTTGCATTGGGAAAGAATAGGTAAAAACTGTTTCTGAATAGGCTAACAATTGATTATTTTAATTTTTTTGTTGAAAGATTTATATACTTTATCAACAGGGGCTGATTCCATGAAGGCCATGTGCATTACCGCAATGCTGTGAGGCCTCCAGGTGCTGTGGCTGTAAAAATAGCTGCTGTGGCACCTGTTGCATCTTTATAGCTTGAAGATGAGGTATCTTTGCACTTGAGAACACCAGGGGATATGTTTGCCAAACTGTGCTTATTCTGAATACTAAATAAGAGATTTAATTGTAATTTTCCATGTAGAAATTAATCAAAAGGAGGCGATTGAGGGAATTTGGTGTGCTGCTTGTGCTTGTTTATCTGAAGAGATGTTAGTTGCAGAACAGTGCACTTGTCAGAATTTCAAGCAGTTAGACTGTGTTAGTTGCTGTATTGGAAGTGAATTGTGTCAAATGTAGTATTTCTAGCCAAGACAGTGATCTGTTCAAAAGTAAACAGTGCACTGGAACATAACCCTGTAGATAGCCCAATCACTAGTCTTTCTGCCACAGAACTATTAGTTGGTGTATTCTTTTAATTTCAGGTTTTTCATTTTAAAATGTGGAGCTTTAAGCAAATATAATCACAACATGTCTGGTAGAACTGCTGTTTTTCTCTCAAAGTTGTGTTGTTTGGGTTTTTTAAATGATGGAAATTAGCTTGGATACTGTGGTGAGATTTTTCAGAATAATCAGAATTATATGGCAGCACTTCATTTCTCTAGCTTTCCTCTTAATTTGTATCATAAATTTGAAAAATCCACCTTGGATTAAATTCTTTAGCATGATGTCAGTAATTTTTATCTGCACCAGCGGTGGTCTTGGCCTTGTGATCCGTTAACCCACAGGAAGAGAGTCTACGATACAACAGCTCCTATGTTACTCTGCTTCCTTCCTCTCTCTTTGCTGCTGATGCCAAATGCACAGTGAGAGAAAAAAGGTATATGGTAGCATCCACAATACCATTCCTGACTCCTGGCTACCATTTTGATCAGGGTAATTTATTGAAGACAGGTTTGCAGCTGCTTCCTGACTTCCGTTGCGGGTATCTTGGTTGGAACAGTGAAGCTGCTCCACATATCATCCGTGTTGTCTGTGTATAAGTCCACTAACAGCTGAAGAACACTTGCTAGAACTTTGCATTGTAGCTAATGCAGTGATTAAATGAAGAAATTGGCAGTTTCTTTGAAGCAAATGATAGCTCTATCATGTCTTAAAATAATACTTATTGTGAGAAGTGTTGTTCAGCTGTGGTGGCGCAGCTTAAATGCTAGCTTATGAGGGATGCTTGAGAAAATATTTTTATGTTAACTGTAGAAAATGAAATCAAAGACAACTTAAATATACTGGTTTATTAACAATATTTTTTGTTGCTTCTTCTAGAATAAAGGTTCACTTCAGTTTGAAGACAAATGGGATTTCATGCGCCCAATTGTTCTGAAACTTCTTCGTCAGGAGTCTGTCACAAAACAACAATGGTTTGATTTGTTTTCGTAAGTAATTTTTTTGTATCTTACATCCTTCTGCATGATGGGAATACAGTTACTGAACTACTTCTGATACAGACAGAAGTTATGTGACACGGATTGTACGGAAACACGGAACAAGAATACTAGTTTAAGTTTTATTAAGGGATAAGTGGGCCAACATCACTGCAAGCGTGCTAAAGTAGAACTTTGCTGAGATTCAGGTCTTTGCAAATAGAATGGAGAAAGAGCAGCAAAGCTTTTGACTTCAGCTGACCATAAACAAATTTTGTCCCTGCCCATAAGCTTTTTGTTAGAATTAGAGAGAAAATGTTTACTGCTGTCTCCATAAATTCATTTAAAGGCCGTTGCTGAACGTTACCTTATTCTGATTTGAATGGCTTTCTTCTAAAATAACTCAACAGGGTGGTGCAGTTTAACTGGTATAATTTGAATACTTTTTTTACACTAAGAATGAAATGTAAGAGATTTCAGACAATGTTGGTATTAATGTGCTTTCTAAAAACCCTGCTATTTTCTTCCTTCCAAAAAGCAAGAAGTTGCTTTTCTAGAAGTTTGGGTGATTATTTTTTTGTGCCACACATTGTGTGATTTTTGCAAACATGATATGGAAGTGAGTTACAAAAGAAACATCAGAAGTATACCTAAAATAATCTTTGTCTTGGTGGAGTTATTTGCCCTGAAATATAGTCATAATTTAAATCTGCAGCTTCTTCTTTCGCTTTTTAAAATCTGTCACAACAGTAGTTCTTTTCCAAATGCAGCCTTGTTGCACTCTGTCTTTATTGCTCTTTTTGATGTGGAAAATGTAGTGAGTCTTTTTACACCCAGTTTAATGCGCCTGTTGCACTTTTCTGCCAGCCAAGAGGAAAGGTAATCTAACGTGGTGGGTTTTAATATCTTAAAATGTCTCTGCTGTAGTAGTTGCCAGAGACATGGTATAGTTAAGGTAAAAATTCTGTTCTGAGTCATTGCTTTAATTTTTAATAACTAGTTCAATAATTCTACATTGGAATTGAAAATTTTATATTTATTGTTTTTCCTTGTAGATGAGTTATTGAATAGAACTTAAATAACTTCATGGCTAAATTAAAGCTATTGAGGGAAAGGACCCAACTTCCCTAGGTTTATATTTTTGGACAGTGTTCTTTGTTAAGGTTCTTAATAAAAATGCAAAATCTGTAGGTGTCTTCTACATGCCCTTTGAGTATAATTATCCGGTATTGCTTTTTTTTCACTGCTGTCAGGAAACAATGACATTCTAAATACAGTAACACCTTTTCTGCCTGTGAATGTTGTGTAAGGCTCACCAGTTACATTAGACCTCTGTAAACCTTGGGCCAGCACCTTTAATCTGTATCAAAGCAACTTGCCAGTCTTGTCTTTTTGGTTAAACTAAAAAAGCTGCTTTTGTATTGAAATAAGTGTATTGATTAAATAGGAACAAAGTAATAGCTTTAGACTATGGGGGTGCTTTTCTGCAGGGATGTGGCCTTGTTACTGAAAGGTAGGAGAAGAACCAGAGGATGGTAATGAGTCAAAAAAAGGCTTGCTAAGCCATGTTATATATGATGTATGGTTAGGAGTGTAACTTGCTTTATTTAGTCTTCAGTATGGAGAGAACAGGAGTTAAGATACACTTGCTGGGTTGTCAAATAGGAAAAATTTCCTTTGAATGTTCATTAGAACTCAGAATTTTGCTTTGCAGTGCTGTTTAGTAACTTTTCTCCAGCAGTGTTTCACTCAAAAATGCTACTACTGCCATGAAATGTTTTAAGTGATCTTATTAAACTAATTAAATTGTCTTTTAAATGATCTGATCCCTCAGGGTTCAGATTTCTCATGAGGAAGGTCTATTGCCTTTGTAGGATGTTGTAGTGCTTGGATTGTGAAACTGTCAGAGAAGGCTGCATGTTAATGATAGCGTTTTAGAATAGCATGGGCTGAGTAGTAACAAAGAAAAGCTTTAAAAATTGTCCTTAATTCAATAAGGATTATTGAATAGGTACTGAAAATAGAATTATCTTACACATCTTGACCATAGCTTTCTCCTACATAGGTACAGTTACTTGCTTCCAGGACTTTTGTTAAAGCTTCAGTCTTTACCCCAAACATGCTTTCTCCCATGTGTCACTGGGATCTAGTTGTGTGTTGTTTAACAGTGGCAGATAAAAAGTGTATTAATTTCTTAGATGTGCTGAAATTATGACTGTTAAGGCCTCATACATTACACCATCAAATTTTGAGTAGCTGTTACTAAAAAGTGGATAAATTGTTTTCTAGAGATGTACATGCAGTTTGCTTGTGGGATGATAAAGGTCCAGCAAAAATCCATCAAGCTCTGAAGGAAGACATCCTTGATTTTATTAAACAGGCACAAGCAGTAAGTTCTTAATGTTTCATAACTTCTATTCATGTTGTTAGAAAAATAGCTAAATAATTCTGACATCTGTTGGATCTAAATGCATTGCTTTTTTTGTTTGGAATTTTGTGATGTTCTGGAGATCTAATTACTCTGCAAACTTCTGTTGACAAAAAGAAGAGCCTTGAGCATTTGCCTGGTTCATTGTTTTCTCACAGTGCTTGAAGCTGGGATGGGCAGTGATTTTTGTGTTATATTAAAAAAACAAAACAAAACACAGCATTATTTTTGTTTATCTAACAGTACTTACGGAATTTTCTTCCACTTGAAAACTTCTAAAAGCAGAATTTTCCTTAAGAAATTACTGTCTGAAAAAAAGATGTTTATATAGCTTCAGTGCTATTTTGACATGTTCATGGATGGCTGTAAAATAAGCCATATGTACAGTGTACTACAAATACCCGTGCTATCAACTCAGCAAGCTCAGTTGTCCAGTTTTATGGGCTTCCCTCCAGATGAGTGATGCTGTCAATAGACTCAAAGGAAGTTCTTGTGTTTGTAACACATACTACAGAAAACATCTTTTGCTATGAGGGATTTAAAAGAGGGAGTTGTTGAGAAATTAAAAAAAAATTCTAATCCCATGACAAAGGTTTAGAAAGATTCTGTACACTTTTATCCTTTCAGTGAAGCGATTTACACCACTAAGGCTTTGCTTCAAGGAAAGTAGTTTTTTATAGAGGCCTTTGTATAACCAGGCATATAAATGTTGTTTTTTAAGTTCCACAGTTTACCTGCTTACCTGCATAAATGCTACGCTGCGCTGAGGCCTTTTGATGTGGCTTGTGTTAGCTGTTATTTGATAGACAGGGTTTTTTTGGCATTATGACAGCCAGTGTACAATGTAGCTAAGTTTTCAGGCTTTAATAAAATATACATGTTAACTATCTGTCTGAGTCTAATGAAATGTTAGCAGGTGCCATTGAATCAAAACTTGTGACTGTATAGAATGTAACACCATCCTTACAGGTTTATGTTAATTTAATTTTTTTTTATGTGCTTGTACCAGCACATGCCTTTAGACCAAAGATTTTAATTTTTAACTTGCACATGACTTAAAAGGAGAAAAAAAAAAAGGTTAATTTAGAAAATTTAGAAACTTTAGGAAAAAATCTAGAAATTTAGAAAATTAGAACTTATTGAGTACTTTTTTGCTTCTGTCTTTCTTTGCCCTTTAGAAATGAGACACGGGTTAATAACTACTTCAAGAAACCAAATGGCACTTCAATGTGTAGACTTTCTTAGTCTGATGTATCTGTATATTTGAGTTTTACATGGGGAATTATTTCCAACATAAATGAAGCCCATATTTTGTACATAAATTGATTTTTAAGTTCCCTCCTGTGCTTGCCCCACCTGCAGAGAGTGCTGAGTCACCAGGATGATACAGCTCTACTCAAAGCCTACATCGTGGAGTGGCGCAAGTTCTTCACCCAGTGTGACATTTTGCCCAAGCCCTTCTGTCAGTTAGAGATCACTCTGATGGGCAAGCAGGGCAGCAACAAGAAGTCCAACGTGGAAGACAGCATTGTTCGAAAGGTGAGTGAGCTGTACTGCTCGAGAGCTTTGCTGCACAGCTGACCTCAGTAACAGCACTGAGGGCATTCTGTAGCTCAAGATGAAGTTGCACCAATCCTGTAATGTGATGCAGCAGCATTAGTAGCAATCACCAAAAAAAATAAATCACAAATGGAGTATAAAGGAGCACATTGAGTGATGAGGATTTTGATAAGAGCCTCCATAACTAATCTTAAAACTTTGCAGTGCTTAGATGAGATGTGGAGTTTTTTAAAAACTACAGATGCATTACTTGCATACTGAACTTTCTTGTTGGATAAATGCAGTATAAAACCATCAGTCTTTTTCTTTACGTAACTGTGGTCTTAGTTGAGTTTTTAGTTTTGTCTAAGACTATGCCTGCCAAATGAATTATATTGGGGTGTTTGTCTCCATAGTACCCACTGATACTGCAACTCCTGACACATTGTATTGCTGGAAAGGTTACTTGACTGATTATCAAGAACTGTAGAAATAATATGGAATGAATACATGAATTCAAGACTGATTCCCTTTGCTGTTTAGGCTAATTTAGAATGTGAGCTGAATATGACTTCTGTAACAAGTTCAGAGCAAGATCAAGTTCTGACGTAGCTGAACTGCTGTGTATGACCTGAAAATTACATTATAAATTGCTCCATTTCTGTTTCTGATGCCTTATATTTTTTTTCACAAACTTAGGTCTGCATGTACCTTTCTGACAGGATTTTTTTTTCTTCCTGATATGCAGCTCATGCTAGATACATGGAATGAATCCATATTTTCAAATATAAAAAATAGACTTCAGGACAGTGCAATGAAGCTAGTTCATGCTGAAAGACTAGGAGAAGCTTTCGATTCCCAGCTCGTTATTGGAGTTCGAGAATCATATGGTACGTCTTGCACACACTGATGTGTTGCCTCCTCACTTCAGTAAATGAATTTTCTTCACACAGTTGGTAGTTGTGATGGTAGGGTTGGAATTATCTCAGCATTTTGTATTGATTTTTTGTTGTGCTTGTTGATACATGATACTAATTAAATTTTGTTTATAATCTTTAGCTTCTAAGTGATTTACCTGTGAATCAGTTACTGCAAAATCAGTGTTTTCAAAGAGAAGAGGACTTTCTGACCTTTTGGGGTTTTACATATAACTTAGTCTGTACTCCTTTACATACTGTTTCTGATTCTTTAGACAGTTTGAAGAAGAAATGCTAAACAGGCTGCATTTAAGACTTTCAGTCTTTCTCTTTGTTGCAGAACAGATCTGTGTATCTGAAACTTCTGAGGTATTTCACCATTGCCTGCTACTTTTGAAAGCTTTCCAGCCTGTTGAACTAAACTTGTGGCTAATACTCTCTAAGACAGCTTCTTATAGAAGTCAAGTTCTAACTTTTTTTAAAGCATATTCCATTTAATGGAATTTATTTCTGTGTAAGTTGAGAGGAAAGTGGAAAGTTTTCCAAATAGTGCAAAGCACTGCAATAAGCTTACTGTCTCCATTCTTGTAAAACAGGGAAAAAAGTCTGAAATGGAGACATTGTGATTCCAGGAACAGTGTCTAAAAGCTTTTTGCTCAGTCAGGTGGAGAACTTTCACCTTATTAGGCACTATTCTGAGCTTTTTTATTCCTTCCTTACAATTTTGCAGTTGTATGTGTGTTAATGGTTACCAAGTCTGGATGTCTGAAGTACTGGACCTAAGTATGATTTTTTTATTTCCCAGTTTGCCATAGTTGATCTGAATGTTTCTGGGAGCAAAGATAGGCCAAATTTGGTTACCTTTGTGATCAGACTCCTGTTCTCAGATATTTCAAATTGTTCAATATAACCTATTAGTACAAGCCTCACTCTCTCATTGAAATTTGCTTATTATTAGCCACATAAATTTCCATGACTTGAGAGTAAGTTTGGACTTTCTCTTTGCAGTTAACCTTTGTTCTAATCCTGAAGATAAACTTCAGATATATCGGGATAACTTTGAAAAGGCATACTTGGATTCAACAGAGAGATTTTATAGAACACAGGCTCCTTCTTATTTACAACAAAACGGTGTACAGAATTATATGAAATATGTAAGTAAAAATTCTGTTGTAACTTTGTACTGAACATGTTAGTACTTAAAATGATTGCTGTTCTACTTTTGCACAGGCAGATGCTAAACTAAAAGAAGAAGAGAAAAGAGCACTTCGATATTTAGAAACAAGACGTGAATGTAACTCTGTAGAAGCAGTGAGTATAATGTGTATAAAAACTATGTAATTCATAGTTACACAGTGTTTTTATATTGCAGTTTTTAGTTTTGTGTTACAGTATTAATTGATAGCAGCAAATTGAAACTCTCTATTTTATGGTTTTTAGTCATAAATTATTTGTTGCAAAAACATGTATTGCTTTCCAATCTGGTAATCTACAGTTTCTGCAAGTGTTTTAATAGTATGTGTAAATCAAAAGTTAAAACTGAAGGGCGGGTTTTTATTCAGATTGGTTTTTCTTTCATTCTGAGTTAGGTATGGTGGATTTCTTTCCTGTCATTAACAGTGGATGAGAATCATGTTTGAAAATAAACTGTCAAATCTGTTTGGCAGAGGATATCTCAGTGCTCATTTAGAACACCTGAAAAAGTTACTGTTCATTGCAATTAAAAGGAGACAGAAATTTTATTAAAGCTCTAATATATTTCCTCTTAGTCTGAAATATGGCCATTTAATATAAAAGATTTCTTTTTTTCCTTTCCTTTCTTCCCTCTTCAGCAATTTTTCACACAGTTCAGATTCTAGAGGAAGATTTAAGTGCAATGAATATGTCATAATTGTCTGTGTTGAAATTAGTTCAGGAAACAGGTTATTTTAAATAAATACCTTTTAAATCTGATCGGGTTTTTTTTAAGTGGATCAAAGTGTGCTTTACACCTTTTGTTAAGCTGTGAGTCATTCGTTTTGCACAGGTATAAATTGTAGCCCATATAAAGAGGCTGACAAAGGAGAGATGGTCCTGACATGTGCAGGCAGTTTCTGTTCTAGATCTAATGCCTTGTCTAAGCCATCCAGCCTGGTCCAAATAGGGTATGATGGAATGAGAACTATTCTTAGCTCTTGGATGTATACTTGGAAATGAAGTGGGATAGTTACTGTTCCAAAAGTGGTGGCCCCCTTGAGAGAAAAGAGTCGACAGAAATACTAAGCTGATTAATGGTTCGGAGGAGAGTTTGCCACATTTACTAATCTAAACATTTTGAAGAAATATGGTTCCTGCATAGATGCTATTCAAACTGCACATGCTTTTATGAATCAGTGAATGAGTTAATTATTTTATAGAGCTAATTGTTGAGAACAGGTTAGATTTTGTGTCATGGCTAACTTCAGATACATCAGACTTCAGTGTTCAGATACCTGCTTGAGCTAATCCTGTGTTTAATGCATTTCAGCTCATGGAGTGCTGCGTCAATGCCCTGGTGACATCTTTTAAAGAGACTATTTTAGCTGAATGCCAAGGCATGATCAAACGAAATGAAACAGAAAGTAAGTGGAGCTTCAAGAGCAGTGCAGGGTGAACCCTGCATGAACTGCATAAAAATAGATTTGTATGTAGATATATCAAATTACTGTTTTTAATAGATGGCAGTTGTGTTTAATACAAAAATATTATTGCACATGAACAATCCCACAAAAAATTACCATCATTGATTCATATTATTTTCTATCACTTTTGAAATCAATATACACAATACTCTTAATTTGAATGAGTGGATAGCTCTAATCTTGCTTGAAAGAAAATATTTTGTGCTCTGTTTATTTTTTCCTACGCTTACTTGCATCATATTGACCAACTCCGGTAAATGTTCTATATGTCTTTACTTTCTCTTCGAGTACTCCAGATACAAACATTTCCTCTTCGTTTCACCCCAGTACCTCTTTACACCTGCAAAAAAAGTGAAACATCTCTTTATAAAAGACTTTTTTTCTGAAAGGCAGGGAAAAATTTTTCTTACTCTGATTATTGATGCAGGACCTGTAGGTCAAATGAACAAAACCTCTTCAAAGCTGTTTGTGGGGCTTTATAGCCAGTATATCAGTGTGAGTATTGAAAGTTAGCTCTGCATACAAAACTTTGGAAAGTTTTAGAAGTTTTTTTTAACTCTGCTGCCAGAAGTTGAGAAGTTAGTGTGATTCAAAAGGCTTCTGCTGGTCCTGTATAACAAAACAAACTAAATATGTCATTAAAATATTATAATTCCAGTAGGAAAAATGAAAAAGAGAAACTGAAATCACAGGATAATTTTTCTTTGAAGTCTTGGTATCCTGCAGCCAGGGAATATTTACTAATGTCTTTGGAGGTTTTAATTTCTATGGAAATGAGAAAACTGTTTTATGACTTAGAATATTAGAATATTATAGAAAATAGTCACTTCTGAAGCCATCATTTAACAAAATATTTGACCTCAAAACTATGTCATGCTGATCTGTTTATCTAGCAGCATGATTTCTGGCAATAGTCCAGAGCTAAATGTAGAAAGCAGTGAAACTTCTTACAAGTATATATTACAGTCTTTAGGAGAATGCAGGAGGCTTATGTAAATGCAGAGCTTCAGAAGGGTTCATTTGCCAAAGGACCTTTCTTTAGAAACCTGTTGAAATATTCAGACAGCCCTCTCTTGTGGCTGCGTCTGTCCTGTGGTAGTGCTTGGTTGCAGAGCACTTCTGTTTAGTCTGTAAGAACTGTTTCAAATGTTTCAATGAAGAATGCCGGTGCAGGTGACTGAAATGTAATTAAAGACTGGAGTTCTACATAGTAATGTATACATCTGATAGTTTCCTCTGCTGTGCTTTGCTTATGCATCTGACTTTTTGATATTATCTGCACTGACAAAAAAGGGCTATTTTGGTAGGTATTTTTGGGTATGAGCTGGACATAGACTCTTGTTATATTAAGTAATATTTACATGCTGTGCAAAGACAGAAAGGGGTAGTGTTTACCAGCTAAATTCTATCAAAAATAGCTTGCAAACACTTCAGAATTGACTTTTCTGTGTTTTTGTTTGCTTATTATATTGGGGAAAGGACAACTAAGTTTATTCTTGAAGTGCAACAAAAATAAAAAGTATGCTTGACTTTCATGAATCCAGAATGAAAGCATACTTTAGGTGCCCCAACAACTACACCATGGATTTCTTTACTCTTTAGTGTCATCATGTATTCTGAGAGAAATTCCAGTAAAATACTTATTTTAGTTTTGTTACTTCGAAATCTGTCTTTAAAGAATTTATGACTTTTTGGATCCTTTGGTCTTAGGGATGTACCTGGAGTCTTCCTTAGCTACTGATTCTTAAGAGAAACCACTGATTTATTTCTTTTTTGAAGTATTTATGGCATCACTACTGTACAGAAACAGATGTAGAGCCCTTTAACATATCTTTTTGCTTCTCTTTTTCTGCCCTCATTTCCTCCCTCTTACTCTTTTTAAAAGCCTAGATTAAAAGATCCAGTAAAAGTTGAGTTTTTTGGACTTTTTGTATGTAAAACAGTGCTGCTGTTTGTTACAGCAGATCTGAGTTGCACTGAGAATGCCTCCAACTATATTTTCTTTTTCTGGTTCCTGAAATGTTGCCATTCAGCCTGAGTTCTCTGTAGTACCATTGCAGGTTCTTATTCAATGTTGTTTGTAGTTTCCATTCTCTAATTTGGATTGTTATGTTCTAAAAGGATTTTTCTTTTCTTCTCTGTGCTTTTCTCTTTGCTTCTGCAGCAGCTGTTGCGGTACAGATGATGGTAGCATATTTCATCCTCAATGGTGATGGGATCTTGATGTTTGTTGCTGACAAAAGTAATGCAGAGGAGAAAGCAAAGGCAGGGCCTCTGACTTTTCCTCTTTCACAGTAGACATAACATTGAGGAACTAAGTGGATCTATACTTTTTTTTTTCTATTAAAAAAAATGAGAGGCCATTTGTTCTACTTCATGAAGCAAAGTCCTTTGCCAAACTGAATTCAAATCTCTGTGGTCTCTTTACAACAATCCGGTGACCTTAATCCCAGTGTTCTTTGTGGACAGCTTTGTCAAGATGATTATTGATGTTTCAGTATCTTTTCTTTTTTTTTTTTTCTTTCTTTTTGTTTTTTTAAAGCAGTATTAAAATATCTTCACAAAAAGTAGACAAATCAAGCACATCATTTTTTGAAGTTTTTGTTCTGGTAACTTTCTAGAAAAACTAAATAAGCTCTTTGGGAAGAGGAGTTCACTGTTTGCATTAGTCAGTTTTGGTTACTTCAGAACTTTGCAAGCTTTTATAAAACAAGGTATTTTAAATGACGTTGAAACATACACAAAGAAAGGTGTCTTTGGCTTTAATTTAAAATTTAAAAAGGTCTTGAATCCATACAGTTTCCTGCATAAACTCCTGTAGTCTTCCAACTGAGAGACATTCTTGCTAGGGATTTGAAGGCAGAACCTGGACTTAATCCAAATTTGCATTGATTTTAGGGGGGTCTTACTCAAGCTTGTGATACATATACATTAGCATACTATATAAGATACTGTGTGCATAAGCAAGTATTACATTGCAATAAATACCTTTTTTTGCCTTCAAAAGAATCTTCTTGTGGGACCAGAATTAGAACAGTTCTCAAGACATCTTTCTTTGTAGAGATTATTGGATTATCTGTTCTCCACATATTTAATGTTCCACTTTAGACATGCCTTGGAGAAATGCAGTATATTTGGGTTTTATACAGGTCTTTGACTGGTGGCTTCATCAGTATTTCTATCTTTCAGAGTTGCATTTAATGTTTTCACTGATGGATAAAGTTCCAAATGGCATAGAGCCTATGCTAAAGGATTTGGAAGAACATATTGTTAGTGCTGGACTTGCAGATATGGTAGCAGCTGCTGAAACTATTACTACTGTAAGTGTATTGGGTTTTAGTAAAATAACAACAGGAAAACAACTTTGCAGAAGTTAAATATTCTCTATTTGTGGGACAAATGCAGGAATGGAAATAATTTTTAAGATTTTGTGTTTAAATTTTGATCAACTGGAAGTTTTAAATGCCTTTAGGATAACTTTTTATTATGTTTTCAGTTGTGGCTTTAAAAAGTTAATCTAATTTGTGGTAAAAGTTATAAATTAGGTGCATGGGATTCTTATACAATACAGTTATGCTCGAATCTTAATTTAAAAAGTGTAATCAATTTTTCCAGAATTATAACTTACTGTTGAAATTTGAAATTTGCTTTCCATCTAGAAGTGGTTGTTCAGTGTAGAAATTATAAGGGTTTTTTCCCCACTGTATTTTTTCAGCTTTTTATCACTTTTTTTCTTCTGGGTCTAGGAGGCCTAGGTGTCTGCAGCAGTTAGGATGTGGCATGTGTCGTCTTTTATTCATCCTTGAAAACATGCTTTAAAATAAAACATTACTGTATAGTATTTGAAAGTTACAGATTTTTTATTTTTTGTTGTTGTATATTGGAAATATTATCCTGAAAGTGTGTTTAGGTGTACATGCTGTAGAGCTCTTCAATCCAGAGACTAAAGGTAAAATGTAAATTCACAGTATGCAGGCATTTTAGGGTACAGCATTTTTACACATTAGGGAATTACGTGTATGCTCACACTGAATTCTGTGGAGCATTGGTTTTTTATTTGATTTTTGCCTCTAGGATTCTGAGAAGTATGTAGAGCAATTGCTCACGCTATTTAATCGGTTTAGCAAGTTGGTTAAAGAAGCTTTTCAAGATGATCCAAGATTTCTTACTGCCAGAGATAAGGTATGTGTTCCTGCTGGTCTTTTGTTCACTATAAGAATTGTTGCAATTTACATTATGATGTCTCCAAAACCCTTGTGCCCATTCACTGTTAAATTTAGAAGGTGCTATTCCTCTATTAAATATGCAGACTAAAATATTGATGAAAAATTAATACCAGCTGAGGAGCTTTTAATTTCTGTTGTAGTGCTGCATAAAGTTGCATATATCCAGCTCTGTAATGTTGTAGAGCACATTAGAAGATGAACTTTGTATTGAGAAGCGTAATGTCCTATTCAGCAATAACTTGTGTTTGGAATTTACTTTGTCTCATGACTTCAGATGTGTAACCTGGTCCATGTAATCCCTTCCTAAATTGTTGTTTAAAGGAAACTACTGTGGTAGTGGAAAAGAGGAAGACAACAGTTTATTGGGGAATTGAGTCATAGAATCTGAACTCACAAATTGAAAATAAAATCTGCAAGCTTTGGACTAATAAAAATATTTGAATTAATTCCATGTTACAGTAGTGTAAAAATAGATAAAATCTTTGCAATTCATATCAGACAGAAATGGAGTGAAGCACCAATAATCTAATTATTTTTCAGGCATACAAAGCAGTTGTGAATGATGCTACAATATTTAAACTTGAATTGCCATTGAAGCAAAAGGGGTAAGCCATTTAAACTTTATGTGAATCATGGTTTTTAAAGTGTCTCTTGAAAAAGTAATGCTGTCTTTAAAAGGGCTTTGAGTTTTTTGCATTATGGAATTTCAGATTGCTTATTGATCTCTGATTAGACTCTCTTCGTGTGGAAGCGGATCAGTGAATAGCAGCCTGGTTCAGCTTGAATTTATGTGTAGTATTTGGGGATCTGTTCTTTTATACTGTGGGTCAGTTTGTTAGTTGAAGTTTGTAATGGCTTCCTGGATTATTAATTTCAAAAACCTCAGCTGTATAACTCTGTTGCAACTTCAGCAAAGGTCCTGGGGAAAAATGAGGCAGTAATCTTCATGGGAATAACTGTGGCTGATTAAGGTGTAACCATCCACAAGCTGTTTTCCACTTCCTCTTGTGCCGGTTGTGAGTGTACCTGTCCAGCTGTTGCATTTTTGTTTCAGTGCAGGATTAACCAGGTTAGTTTAAACAACTTCCAGTAGATTAGGCAGACCTGCGTGACTCAAGAAGAAGGACCATGCTTACAGTGCCCGCTCTGCTAACTCAGCCAAGAGAAGGTAGCAGTCAGTTAATTGATTGATAATTAACATTTACTGTGTGATGTGCCACTTGAGTAGGAATTTGTATATATTTAGGTACTTGGGATTGCTTATATATAGTTTGTTGTCTGATTTACTATGGAAACAAAGCTTTTGTAGCTGGGCTGCCAGCTTTCCTTTCCAATTGCTTCTAGTTAGGGGTGGATGGTTATAAATACCTGTCCAGCATCTTGGTTTGTATTCTGGGTTTGGTTTCAGATAATGGCAAGCCTGAATAGGGATTAGTCTTTCTCCATGTATTGGAGGAATGCTGTCCCAGAAGACTGGATCCCTGCTTTCCATACTTTGCATAGATGTAGGTATGGTAGAGGAGTTTCTTAGGTATCTTCTAATAGTTTCCTTTTCTCTGAGCCTGTGCCAGTTGATACCTCATTCAAATTGTTTCACTCCTAAAGTGAACCTGGCCTAGTGGTTTCTTAGAAACCACTGTGATTGTGATGGTCTTCTGTTCAGCATTCTTCTTCCCAAGCACTTTGAAGTTGTCTAGATACACACCCTGGTTTGAACAAAATGAAACTTTCTTGCTTAGTCTTCTTTAATAGCCAAAACACTTGTGATCTGCTTGTACTTCAAATGGTCTTTAGGAGGGCAGAAGACATTAGCCTGCAAGCTGCTTCATGAACTGTCTATACTAATCAATGAGGGAGTGAAAAAATGAGCAAGAAAAATGGATTTCTGAGCTTGCTGTGGGCCCTTGAGTAGCTGTCAAATTGGTGCCATCTAGGAATAGGTGCCATTGGTGTCTCTAGGAATAGGGATTGGTCCTTACCTTTCGGTTTTATTTACCAGTCTAGACACAGGTGGAACATGACCTCTGCTTGATGAATTTTGAAGAACCAACAGTCTGTCTACTGTAGCATCTTGTTCAGCTTCAGTCTGCATTTAATTTAGCTGTTAGTCCATCGTTTATAGCTGTGATGAAATAATTTTATCCTGTTACTATGTGTTAGATGTGTTGAGTTTTGCAGTCTGTGAAGTGTGGTGCAGGGGACTGTTCTTGAGACCTCGTTACAGCGTACTGACAAGATGAGTGAAATATTTCACTGTAGCATTTGTTAATTCTTTACTGGAATACTTCTTTCCATGCAATATTTTGTTGTTTCAAACCGTAGTTTTACCTGTATACTTCATTGTTACAGTTCTAAAATTGTAATTAGTTAAAATAAGCTGTAGAAGCTGTCTGAAAGTGTTGGCAGTATTTATTCTTTCAAGAAGAAAGGGTGTTATCCCTAACTTTTCATTAGTTTAATGAGAATCTAAATTCAACACCAGGATCCTTGCCAAGGGGATCAGGAGAGAGTGGTTTGTTTTGTTAACAATGTGACTACTCCAGAATAGCAGGATTCTGTATGGTCTGAAGAAATACTGTTCTTTTACCTAGTGTTGGATTGAAAACACAGCCTGAATCCAAATGCCCGGAGCTTCTTGCTAATTACTGTGACATGTTGCTAAGAAAAACACCACTAAGCAAAAAACTAACCTCTGAAGAAATTGAAGCAAAGCTTAAAGAAGTGGTATGTTTCTGCTTTCTATTTCAGTTATTCTGAAGAATGAATTTGTTTGTTTTATGTCCTTATGTGGGTTGAGGCCTTGATCTTCAAAAGCAGATATGCAAGGTGTAATAGTAGAGAAAAGAGTTTATTATGTTATTGTGTGTGTTTAAATCATTCAGTGTTTCATGTCTCCTGTGTCAGTCCACAAGACTGGTATACTAAATTAGTGCCTATATGAGACTGTAATTTATTACAATAACTAATGTTTGTCTAGAAAATAATACAGGAGATTTTAACATAAATAGTGTCAATGTCTTTTTTGATTTAAGAGAATTTCTTGATGGGTGACATGAAAAAATTGAAGGAGTGATATTATGAAACATTCATTGCTGATGCCTACGATGGTATTAGCACAGTGGCTCTTAAGGCAATGTCAAGTAGCCTTTCCCTAGTCATAGTCTACAGTGCCATTAGATCAGCATTCAAAGACTTGTCTGCTTGACAATGCAAATAAATATATTCAACTCTATTTTTGACAGCTTTTGGTACTTAAATATGTACAGAATAAAGATGTTTTCATGCGATATCACAAAGCTCACTTAACAAGACGTCTGATATTAGATATATCAGCTGATAGTGAAATTGAGGAGAATATGGTGGAATGGCTCAGAGTAAGTAGCGTCATGTCTTTCTTTGGTTGTGCCTCATGCTTGTGATTAATACATATTTTACTTTGGAACTTAAATGTCTTTCTTGCTTCGGTGAGTTTTATCTTTAATATCAGGCCACTCAGGGCATCTTATACTTCCCTTCTATCACAGTACTTTGTGAAAGTAAAACTTATTTTTATATGCACATAAGCAAAATCCAGTGTACTTGTTTAATTACATAAATAATTTGAGATCCATTCTAATTTTGATTTTTCATGTAGATTAGATTATTTGCATGCCTTAAACATTCCTTCAAATCTGAGAACTCATGGATTCCTTAATGCATGCATATGTTCTTCAACACTTGCATTTCTTAAAAAGAATCATCATATGTCCTTAAGGGCACTTATGATCCATGCAGAAAACCCTTTATATTGCATTGCAGATTCATTATGACTGTAAAGTGATGATACCAGTGTACTTCTTTGTGCTCTTAATCTATTCAAGCTTATTATTTTAAAAATGAAGCCTTTTGTTCATAGTTTTCTATATAATTTTTAATGTTCTGTTTGTTTGTTTAGGAAGTGGGAATGCCAGCAGACTATGTAAACAAGCTGGCTAGAATGTTCCAGGATATCAAAGTCTCTGAAGACTTGAACCAGGCCTTCAAAGAAATGCACAAAAATAATAAACTTGCTTTACCAGGTATTGTTTTCAAATTATTAGCTACTTTTTATTCCTCTTAGTGAAAAATAGCTCTGTTAAATCTTAGGTTAAAAATTACGTCAACTGCAGGTTGAACACAGTCTCCATAGCATTGTTGGCCCTAGATTGGAAGTGTCTGTAGACTCTGCTTTCTCCTGTAGTTGATATTAGAGCTGTATCACTCTGGAAGTTGTTTTGGGTTTTGCTTGTGAGCAGTCTTGTAGATGCAGATTCCCTTCCTTTGTAGACAAATTGCAAGCAGGGGCTTGAATCGGCATCAGCCAGGTGAATGCCTGAACTACCTCCTTTTATGCCCTCATCATTCTTTAAGTGCTCCATGCTGTGCTCCTCCATTATTTGCCAGCAGGAGAGCTGGGTGCATGCTGTGAAGAGCTTCAGTCACATTCTGAGATTGTTTCACTGATGAGAGATGCTGATGAACATCAAGTATTGGACCTGCCATGCTGAAAACCCTTGAGTAGTGCTTATAAGCATCAGCTGTAAAGCTGCACTGGAGTTCAAGGAACTCTGCAGCAGCAAGCCAAAAAAATGGGTTTCAGTCTGTGCTGCTGGCATAAAGCCGGTGCTGCATAGAGTGCATTAATGTTTAAGTAGGTAGAGACCCTGCAACTTTCCGAAAATTCAGTCCTTCATAACTGTGTTAAGAGTGGTTTGTCTCTCTGTTATACCTGAGATTCATATAATCCAATATCATCTTACAGCTGACTCTGTGAATATTAAAATTTTAAATGCTGGTGCCTGGTCCCGAAGTTCTGAAAAAGTGTTTGTCTCGCTGCCCACGGAATTAGAAGATCTCATCCCAGAGGTCGAAGAATTTTATAAAAAGAATCACAGTGGTAGAAAACTCCACTGGCACCACCTCATGTCCAATGGAATTGTAAGTGTGTAGTTTTCATTGTATCAGTCTTAATGACTGCACTCTCTGTGTATTTATAACAGTAAGAAAGCTTGTGATCCAGACAGGCTTACAAGTAAAATTTTCATTCTCTTCACAGATAACATTTAAGAATGAGGTTGGCCAGTATGACTTGGAGGTAACAACATTTCAGCTGGCTGTGCTGTTTGCATGGAACCAAAGACCCAGAGAGAAAATCAGCTTTGAAAATCTTAAACTGGCAACTGAACTCCCTGATGCAGAACTTAGGAGGACTTTATGGGTATATCCCTTTCTCTTGAAACAGATTGTTTCTTGGTTTTTGAACTCAGAAATACTGGATTAATATTTTTAAAGCACTCTCTGATAAGTTTGAAACTGAAATGTGAACGTCTTTCTTGGTAATTTATCAGTTGTAGTGCTGGCTTCTTGCACTGCTGCCGAGCACACACAGCCTTTACATTAACACGTTCTCTCTACCCAGTCTTACTTCACAAGCATTTGGAAACTGCAACAATTTTTTAACCATACAAAAAGCACAGAATTTGACTGTGTTTTGTCCAGTGGGTCTGGTCTAATTCTAGGACATCAGTGACACCTGGTACATGTTGCTTAAAAATAACTTGTGTTTGCTTTAGCAGACTTATAATTATTTAGCTCATGAATAAAGAGAGAAATCACGTAAGTCAGGCTTAACACCACTTCTGTGGTGTTTGTGAGTTTGTGTAAGCCGTGTGTTTGTGTATTTTACTACTTTGGATGATTCTGTTTACGCTAACCCATTTCAGATTCAGAAGGAGATTTGGTAAACTGTATCCTCTCTGATTTTACTAGTTCCAAACAAGGCTATATGGTTCCCTCACTACAGTTAGCATAGCAGTGAATTATGGTTGTAGAAAGTAGTGATTTTACATTTAGAAAGTCTGGTGTTTTATTTTCATTTTTTTCTCCCCCTCCTTTTTTCTCTGTAGTCTCTTGTAGCATTTCCAAAGCTGAAACGTCAGGTTTTATTATATGAACCTCAAGTCAATTCTCCCAAAGACTTTACAGAAGGAACCCTCTTCTCGGTGAACCAGGAGTTCAGTTTAATGTAAGATGATGTTTGAAAAGTAAAATAACAATGTACTGTTTTATAACTAAAGGAATTCACTTTAACTTAACCTTTGTTGTTGAAAGTTTTCAAAATTAACCTAGACACATGCTTTGCTGTCCCGCCCTCACTTATTTTGGTAAGTCATGCTTCAAGTAGGTGATTTGACTAGATGGCCTGCAGCAACTCCTTCAAACAAATGTTTTTATAATTCTAATTTCTGCGAAATTAAATGTCTTACACACTTAGGGACGAAGTGCAAAATTGGAGGCTCTGCTATGTTCCAATTAGCAATAAATCCATAAAATTTCATGGAAGACAGCCTGTAATCAGGGGCTAGTGCTCTGATTGTATTGATTTCTGCACACACACAGAATTTCAGAAACAGAGTGATAAGTTAAAAAAAAGGCAGTGAGACTGCTTAATAATATGGTGTGGTGTCAAGAGCCAGGATTTTTGGTGTGGCTCTCACCAGAGAGAAGTGTCTTTATTTCTGTGAGAATTGCAGTGCTCTTTTACTGGTGCTTTGAAATCCTTCAAGGACAAGATAATACAAAGAGACAATGTCTAAGTGGTACATACTATGTTCAGTGTCGTTTACTTGCTTCTGCCTGCCTCTACTGTCAATGAATATGATAAGAATCGGCTCCTTGCTAAGAATCCCAAATTCTGAGCCTCGTTCTCAGCAGCAGCTTGGACATCTGGATCTGTGGAGAAAGAGATAAGTGACCAATCTGCCTTCCTGGGGCTTAGTTTGTTGCCCAGGGCAATAATGCTTATTCCTGTCATCACGGTTCTGAGCTTTGGGGAATGATGAGAGGACATGAAAGAAGACACAGGCTGTAGAGAAAGTTTATGGGTGACCACCGAAGAATGCCATCAGCTTTCTTTATTGCAATAGCTGGATTTTGTCCCAGACAGTTCTTTGATGGAATATTAACTAGTCAGATTTCCTAAACTTTGTTGTAAAACTTCCTCCAAAGAAATACACATTTCTATAATTAAATTGAAATATATTTTTTTCTGAAATTCTGTTATTTCAGCTGCTAGGTTTATTTGTAATGGTTGTTAGCATTATTTAGGTTTCATTGTGCTAAAACATCACCATTGGGTTTTGATCTGTCACACAGCTCTCTCACTGCTGTAATGCTAATAACCTCTAAGTATCTGTCATGCTACTTGCTGCTGTAATTTAAGTTTAACAGGAATTCTGTAATTGAAAGTGGTTTGGGTTTTGTTTTGGTTTTTGGTTTTTTGCTCACTTTCATGCAATACAACTTTTTCCAGAAAAAACGCTAAAGTTCAGAAAAGGGGCAAGATAAATTTGATTGGTCGATTGCAACTTACTACAGAGAGAATGCGGGAAGAGGAGAATGAAGGAATAGTCCAGCTAAGAATATTGCGAACCCAGGCAAGTAACCTGCCAGAGGAATACAGAATTCCCCTATTTCTTTTGTTGCATTATCATTACTGTAATTTGTTGCATTATCATTACATGCTGCCCACAGTTGGATGTTGATGTATGAAATGGGTGCCTTTGAATTCCATTGGAAGTCACTTCTTAAGTGACTTAAAGTTACATGACTTTAGATCCTTGTGAATACCTGATTTTGCATGGGTGCTCGTGCACTTAGAGTTATCAGTCTTCTGTTCTGAAGTACCAGGTCATCATCTTCAAAGAGGTCAAAGCAGACATTAAGCAAGTGGTGAAGGCATAACAGTGTGGGGTGGGTGACAGCAGCAGATTGGTAAAATTGACTGGCACTGGCCACCACCATGAATAAACAGCATTGTTGATCTTAATATCTCTTTGGTCTGTATGAAGAGAATAATCTTGAAGGTGGGATCATGCTGTAGTAACAGCCCTATGACTTCTCCCTATAGGAGAAGTTGAAAATGCATCTTAGCTGTACAAACTGGAGCTTCCTTCACTGTGGTTGATAGTCTTTCAGTCAGCTACTCATGTCAGATCTTTTGAAATGACAGTTTTAGAAAAGCCATTTTAGAAAATGAATTTTTTCTGGCATCAGAGGTCATTACCTACAACAGAGTCTCAAAAATCCCATTTTACCTTCAAGTTTCAGGCCTGTTCTATCAGTCAGGTTGGACTGCAGGCCATGCACATTGTGAATTGTATCATCTGATGAATTTATGATGTGACCATTCCGGCAGCAGCAGGATTAATGCCTAGTTGTACTTACAAAATGAGTGAGATGTTCACGAGATATATCACAAGTCACCTAGGAAACTGCAACTTCTGCTCAGGGAGTGAGTGAACATTTGGTTTTAGTGAGTAATTTACACTCTAGATACAAGATTTAACTGCTCCTTTGACTGGAATTATCTTATATCTCTTGCATCTTGCCAGTGCTTCATTCTTTTCCTTTATCAGCTTCTTTGTAAAAGCAGTACTATATAGGCTAAAAAATGCAGCGTATTTCTGATTTCTGAGGAAAAGTACAAATTTCATTGCTGTCTTGCCTTACCAGGAGCCTCCTATTAATGCTGTGTTCATTTTGTCACTTCACCCAGGCATTTAAAAATAATTTTTTCTTTTCTTCTTGTGCCCCACCAGGAGGCTATCATCCAAATAATGAAGATGCGGAAGAAAATTACTAATGCCCAGCTTCAGACTGAACTGGTAGAAATATTGAAAAACATGTTCTTGCCACAAAAGAAAATGATAAAAGAGCAAATTGAATGGCTTATAGAGCACAAATATATCAGAAGAGATGAGTCAGATATCAACACCTTTATATACATGGCATAATTGGAGGACTTTGCGGGATGCTGAGAACATAAATGGAAGGGTGCTTGGACAGACAGCTGCAACAGTTTGTGCTGCAGAAGGACTTGTTTTGACTTTCGTTACATATTAAAATCCCTGCCTTACCTTACAGAGGACTATATTTTGCCAATCTCATTCAGCTAGCATGATGGCATTCCCTTCATGTTGCACACTTTTAACAGCATGCTGTTTTGTGGGAAACTTGCATTCATGAAGAGCCCATTGTGAACTTTTTAAAGTAGATTTGATTTACACCCACCAGGAAGAATACAGGTTTGGGTTTTTAGATGACCAGTACTTGCACAAGGAAAAAATATTCAAATATTCATGCACTGAGGAACTGCTATTAGTTTTGTTTTGGGTTTGTTTTTTGTTTTGTTTGGTTTTGGTTTTTGGGTTGGTTTGTTTGGTTTTTTTTAATGCAATTAGGACTAGAAGTAGCACTTTCACTTCTGTGTTTTGGATCAACAGAGTAATGTCCATCTCTGATCCTTTTCATGTAATAACATTTGAGAGACACAAACACATGCATCACAACTGATATGTATTTGTTACAGTTAAAACCTGTTGGCTAGAGCAGTGCTTCAATCTAGTAACTGGATTTTAATAACTGACACATTAAGTGATACAAAAGTAATTCTGAGTCATAGGTGATATTTTTCCCTAAGGAAGAGATCATTGTTTTAAAATTGTTTGCTATAAACAAGTGGATATGTTGTTACCTTATTTGGAAGGGTGATTTGCTACAATAATTTTTGACAAGGTAAAAGTTTCTTGAATGATACTTCACTCTAAAAGCAGTTTTCATGGGTGGGTCTGCTATAGGAACAGAAATATTAAGTGTATTTCCTTGTACATTTAATATTTATACTCCAAATATTTCAGTATGACTACATATATCAGGATGCATTAAAGAGTAATTTATGCACAACTCCCACAGAAAGAGGGAAGATCTTGAAGATCCCTGTACAATTTCCTCAGTGGTAATTTTTATATACATCAAGGTTAATCCAATTGGACTAGTCAACATCTTTATATATGAAAAACAAACCCTCTGCTTTTCATTTTGTAACTGGTAGGGTAGGAAATACACTTCAAATGAAAATGATAAAATGCTAAGGAAAAATACCTTGTTCAGTGTATATAGAGAGAGTGCCAAACACACATCAGGAATCTCAACTTCTTAATGTTACCTCTTCCATTCTCAATCATCTGAAGTAGTCATTTGGCACTGCCCTACTCTCTGCCGTTCTGAAATGTCCTGGCATGCACTGGAGTGATACCATGAGTCATAGGAGCAGAGTGCCTGTCTTAGGACAAAGGTAAGTTGTGCATTATTCAGTTCTGTTTGACTATTTCTTCTATAAATTACAAGTGTGTGAAGTTATTTTTTAATTAACCAGTTGAACTACAACATCTAAAGGCCTCATCTTCTTTGATGATGAAAAGGGGAAGAGGACACAATTAACTTTAGTCAAAAAGAAAGCCTTCCAGTAAGTAAGAGGAGTAGTTTTACTTTCACATGGTTACAGTAAAGTATGCAGTAAGAGTGGTTTAAAAGCAAACTCTCCAAGAATGGCTGTTTGCACCCTTAAGCAGGCTGTGCGCTCTGTTACTAATGTAAATGCCAGTGTGACTGCCTGAGAACAGTGTGTAATTGGACATCTGTTGGAGTAAGAAATTTTTGGTAGTGAGGGTTTCATGACCAAGAGATGAAGCAACCAAGGCCTCGCCAATTACAATTGGTTGAAATCCTACAGCTTGTGTTACATGCTTTTACTGATACTCAAGAGCAGATGCTGTTCAAAAATATTGCATCTTTTATGTTGGCCCTGTGGTGTTGCAATTCAGAATCAAAAGCAAGTGGTGCTCTGTGTAGTCAAACAGTGAAACCATCTGAACAACAGAAAACAAAATTCTAATAAAAAACTTTGTGCTGGAAGACTTTCAGTCTTTGTAACTTAAAAGTAATAAATACTTACTTGGGATAATTGGGGAGAACAACAGTCTGAGCACACTCGTCAACATGAAAAATTCCAACCCTTAACTAGAGAACAGAGAAGAAATGGCCACATGAGCTGCCAAGAGGATAATGCTATTTTTGAAGCCATTGGTTTAGATTTGAGAGAGAAGTTTAAGAGCATCTCAGATACAACTGTTTAGGAAGCTGGAATATAGACAGAAAGGAAAAGGTTGCTAAAAGCTAAGGAGCTACACATTCCCTCAGCTAATAAATACAATACAACCCAATTGTTACCTATACATTTTTCAACACCTGGGATGGAAATAGAATTGGTTATGTGCCTATGACATGGTCATTTTTTCTTTAAAGATATACCAGAAAAGGATGTTGGGTTTTTTATGAAATATGAGACAGACACCAGCAAATTTGTGAAAGATGCAGAATCACGTTTAGCGTCCTTCATCAGGTCACTTCACCAATATGCACTTAAAACTAGTATCACCTGGGGCACAGGGAGATACCTGGGGTAAGCTGTTCTTTTGGGGAGGGTAGAGTTCAGATCTAAATGAAAACTATTCTTCAATTGCAATATGGCAACAACGCACTTTTAAGGCTGCAATTTTTAGCTACGAATATATATGTCCAAAGACCTAGCTTAAGGAGGTGCTGCATCTGAAAAACACGTTGCCACACACACTGCCACGGTGAATAGCTAAGGAACGAAATCTGGTGTAGAGCGGGGGAAATCACTCTTGATGGGTTTAATTAATAAACACTGTTAAATCTTTCTCGTCCCAACAACTTGATGAGAATCTCAGTTTCAATTCTGAAGTCTTCCATTTTCCTCTTTCCACAGTTGGTGTCCCTAGCTTCTACTTTTACTCATTTATCTTTCATTTGTTATGACTGTAATGCAGTTACATTTCCAAATGACAATGTGACTTTCTCATTTTCATCGTTTTAAAATTAATATAAATGTTCTGAATGTTCACATCTTGCATTTATCTGCATTGGGATGCCATTGTCCTGTAAAGTGCAAATTTTAAAAATACAATTGGCAAAAAGATTTGATAGTTTTACAGAAAGATTTGCTATCTCAAACTGTTTTCTATTTTCATCTAAATGACTGGGATGCTATCTTTGTAATTCTTTAAGGTCATATTTGTGAAATAAACAATACATGAAAGCTTTCCTATCATATACACTATATGTAGTCTGGAGTGTTGAGCGAACTCGAGTTCCTGAGTTGTAATAACTATCTCCGTATGGTATTTACAATTTTGAATGTGTGCCACTACCAAGATAATAATGCTGTACAATTTTGAATGGTGGTAGTTTCTGTATGGCAGTCCAGCTGAACTATTTTGATGTACTGCTTAATTTTTGAATTTTATTTTTTAAGTTGTATAATTTATTTTCTTGCAAAATAAAAATGTAATTTAAAAGACTACTCATTTAGCAAGGTATTTTGGTGTCTTAACCTACAAAATTTTACAGTTGAATTCAGGTGCTCCCACTGCATGAAATTAGGGAGTTCAAGTCCCAACATCTGTTATGATCAGAGTAATTCGAAAAACAAAAGTGGAGACTTCCAGTTCTTTCTGTGTTAAAAATTTTTATGTACTTAGGATTATGTGTAGACGTATTTAATCTTCTGAATTCTATTTAAAGATGAGCTGTAGTCTTTCAGTTACAATTATCTAAGCTGCCATGCTTGAAGTTGACTGGGAGTTGCCTTAGCTTATGGCATTTTTAAAAAAGGTTCTGTCTCTGTGCAACTTACTGGGATTAACTTGGATTGCCAAATATTTTGGTTGATTTGTCTCTGAAGTTACAGTGTGTGTCACTGAAAGTTCCTAGTGTTGCCACTGGGACCTTCAGGTAGCTGATCCTGCAGTAAACTGGGATGTGGGAACAGTTGCTTGCCTCAAGGAGTGCTTTTAATGTAATGGCTTTTCTTCAATGATTGTCGTTGCCTTTTAATGTGAATCTCTTTTTACACATCAACTCCTTCCTTTAAGTGCACCAGCTAATGTCAGTGTTTCGTGCTTTCTGGTACATGCAGAGTTGAGAAGTACTTGTATGGAATAAACAGCTATTTTTGAGTGACTGCTCAGTACAGTGCATGGCAATTGGCCAACTGGCAGTTCTTGCAGGCAGTTTTAATGGCAGGTTGCCATTATTTCCAAACTTTTTTCCTTCTATTAGGGCAATATATAGTCTTTCACAATGGTTTTTGAGGAGAAGTTGTTATCTAGAAGCTAGTTACCACAGGAGGTCCTTGGCTGAATCAAGTCCTACCCCTGTAAATTGATCACAGTTTAAGTAGAATTGTTGACCTAAATATAAAACGCTAAACCTCCTTAATTCTTCTGATAATGGGAGAATGTGGCTTTATTTTCTTCATTGCTTTGCTTGTCAACATAGAATCATAAAATTGTTTAGGCTGGAGAAGACCCTTGAGTCCAACCATTAACCAGCATTGCCATGTGCACCACTAAACCATGTCCCTGAGTACCACATTTACACATTTTTTAACCAAGTCCAGGGATGATGACTCACTTCAGTGTGCTGCTTGACAACCCTTTCCATGAAAAGAGTTTTCTTGATATCTAGTGTAAACCTTCCCTGGCACAACTTGAGGCCATGGAGATCTACTACAGAAATTCAGTTGGATACTGTGCTTCAGTTTCTGCATGCAACCTGAAACACCCATAAAGAATGGCTGGAGGCACAAAAGATAGCTGCTGCTTCCCTCTGCGGATCTGGGGCATGGCCAAAGCAAATACCACCTGCTGAGCTAAGGATGAGCACCACAGTGTGACTTTATTTTAATAGTCTGTGACTGGACACCAAAAATGAGCAACTTTGAAATTAGTACATTATAGTCATTCTTGGTGAGAAGAGATGCTGAAAAAAATTAATGTTAGTTCCAGTGCATTAGCAGGTTATAGCCAAAAAAAAGATATACTGCAGGAGTAAAGGCAAAATTAAATAAGAGGTTTCTGGTTTTTGTTCTACATGTTTTTGGCATTACTAATTTCTGAAAAATATCCTCATCCAACCTGGATGTTTTTGCTATATGCTACATCTATATTTTCAGAGTAAAACCTTCAGTTCTTCCTGAGGCAGTATTTGTCAGTTCCTATGTTATCTCTGGTTTGTACTTGAAAACTCTGTCTCTAAATCAAGGGTCTAGACTAGACCACCTCAGAACATCAGCTACCGAGAGTCAAGGAAGCAAAGGAGTACAAACGGTTCCCTCGCCAGTGCCTGTCTACAGGCACTTGTAGAGTTTTAGTGCTGGCCTTCATCCCGAAATCCAGGTTCAGAGACGAGAGTGTGAGAGTGAAAAGCAGTGCAGAAAAGACCGTGGAACTGGGATGGGGATCCTGAGACTGAGCTTGGGGTTGAGCTGGCATCAGTCGTTCTGTGAAGGCAGCTGCCGGAACCATTCTGGGCTAGGTTTGAATTCTGAGGTAACAGTGTTAGAGGTTTATGCCATGGCCAGGCAAGGAGGGATTTAGGGGGAGTTAAGTTGCTGACTCTTCTGAGAACAGCACGCAGCTACAGCACAAGGGCATGCCAGACACAAAGCGTCCCAGGCTCAGCAATACTCGGCACTTTCAGCGCCACCGACCTTGTCGTGCGTAGGATGTTTCCGATACGGGATTAAATGTCCGCGGCTCAGGTCAGCCTAACCTGCAACTCCGGGCGGGCGAGGGCCGGGCCGAAGAGGGGCGGAGCGAAGCCTCGGTGGCGGAGGACACACCCCCGGAGGCTGCTTCTTTTCACGAAAGGATATTCCACGCTGTCTCCATACGGTTCGCTACCAGTGATTTTCCTTCTCGGTGCGGCATCCCAGACTGTCCGCCCCGCACCCGGGGCCGTCCCTCGCAGCCCCCGCAGCGCCTACCCCGCCTGGGCCCCGAGCGGCAGCACCGCCGGCGAGAGGAACGCGCCTGGCGCTGCTGAACCACAGAATCCGTCCGGAAAAGATCTCCGGGATCATCGAGTCCAACCCGTGACCGAACACCACCGCCTCAAACAGACCACGGCACTGTGTGCCACGCCCACTCTTTCTTTAAACACCTCCAGGACAGTGACTCCACCGCCTCCCTGGGCGGCCCATTCCGATGTCTAATCACCCTTTCCGTGAAGAAATTCCTTCTGATGTCCAGCCTAGCGGGCTCCCGGGCTGCGGATCTCCCGCGCAGGCGGCAGCAGCGGCCCCTCAGGCAACGCACGCGCCGGCGCCTCTGACGCCGCCACCCGCCTTCCGCGGCAGCCAATGGCAGGGGCGGGTGTGGCACCGCCCTGGGCAGCGGGGCCAATGGCAGCGGGCAGGGGGCGGGGCGCCGCCGGCTATAGGCGGGGGGGGGGACGGCGGGGAAGGTGACGGGGGCGCCAGCGGGAACATGGCGGCGGCAGCGGGGGCGATGCTGTGCGGGCGGCGGCCAGCCGCGGGGCTGCTGCGGGTGAGGCGACCCCGGGCCCAGCTCTCCCTTCT